ACAGGCAGGAGTCCATGAGACCACTTGCTCCAGCGCTGCCACTGTCAGCACAGCCCGGGTGTTTTTCCAGCCGTGCTGGCCGCAGGATCACTGCTCTGACGTGCCAAAATTTCCAAGCCCTTTGCCCTCCCTGAGGCATTATCTGCCACTAGAGACACACGATCTGAATGAATCTAGCTCCAGCCAACTCTCTAAGGTCCAGAACATGTTGTCCATGGAAAAACAACGCACACTAGAGAAACAAAAACTACCTGGCTGCTGTTTATAGACTTCTCAGAAAAAGTCAACAGTCCAGAGCCAAACTCGAACGTTCACATCACTCCTTCACTTATGGAAGGTGAGTTTGCTAAATGCCTGGATGCTTTTCAGCCCAATAGCCCAGTTCCTGTATTTGCAACCATAATACTGGAACAAGTAGCAGGGCTTAAACTGGTGCCCACTGGACTCAACAGAAAAGGCAGATGCCAGAAACTTTTTTAGATACATAACAGTGATTCTTCATACCTCTCTTTTTGTGGGCTACTGGACTCTACCCTCAGTCACATGTAAAACAATTCATGGATAGATTTTTCCATTAAATACCTCATACTACCTATTGAGGTTCCTGGTACCTGGTTCAAATGAAAAAATAAAATTTCTGCTTTGGGAAGTGCTAAGCATCCCCTGAGTCCAATCCAAGAATCAGCTACAGATTCAGGAGAAAAGTAGAATTATACAAGGAAGGGACCTGAGGGACTGACAGCAAGCCCTCCCAAACCCTTCTCTTTGTGACTGCCAGCTGTCAGAGGAACAACCCTCTGACTATTATTCACTAAATCCCCTGACATAAAGCTACTTTTGCCCCAGAGCAGCACACACCAGCTGCTCTGATGCTAGATGCTGGCTCAGGCCTTCCTCATGCGTGACCAGCAAAGCCCTTCCTGCAAAAAGAACCCCTCACTCTCTTCTTACTGGAAAAGACAGAACATGTTATGCCATAACTTGCTCCTATTTCTGTTTTCCTTCCTCTGCTCCCTTACAGAAAACTAAAGGCCATATTCACCTCAATTTTCTCTCCTTTTCAGGATGGTTATGAATCGAACACGAGCAGGGGATGGGTTACCAGATGTGCACCAGTGTGAGCAACAGGAGAGCTGCCTTTCCCAAGAGTAACTTGCCATTCATGTATTTAATTTCCATTTTACCTAATGCCTTGGCATGCTGCACTGGACAGAGATGCAAACGCTGCCCTCTTCTCATGATGACCAGACCCTTGTCAGACATTGCTCTAAACTGTAGGATGTTTGACTAGAGATTTGGGGCTCAGTGAGATGCTGGCCAAGGCATACACGCTCCATAGGGCAGAATGGCTGAGCTGATGGAAGCTCTCTGCAATGGACTTGTCCAAGAGCTAAGAGATTCCTCTAGTCTTATCTCTTTAGGAGATCAAATACTTAAATGGTCTTTGAGTCAGCCTAACCACAAAACCATCACAAAAGTGATATTTGGGTAGAGAACATGGCAAGAGATGAAGGATGTGCTCCAGCTCCAGCTGGAGGAAGACCTGCACTAAGCTGGCAGAGCAAATCAAAGCTTAGACCCTGTGAAACACTGAGCACTGAGGAGCTACAAACTTAATGATACAGATCATTTCAGCCAGAAGAGTCATTAAGTCCCATCCCTCAAGCTGTATGCAAACACACACAAGATGTTGAGGCTAGAAGATTCTTCATAATATCCGTTTTTCACACACCATCAAACACCCCCCTCCCCCTCCAAAAAAAGCAAGAACAAACCACAAATGTCCCGGAAGGAATGAGCAAGGGAAGCCAAGGACCTGTCGGGATTTGCAGTCCCTGCCTTAGCTAGGAATTGTTTCCCCTGGATAAGCCGTGGCAGTCACTGTCTTTGGCTTGTGATGAAGCCAGTGGGAGCTTAGCACAACTCATTCTTTAAGAGCAATGTCTCTGCATAACAAGCAAGCAAAGCATGGCAGTCGCTGAACCAAGTGAATAACAGGTTTCATAGGTGCTGTCAAAAGGGGAGAAGGAAAATCCCAGCTGGCTCCAAACAGCTTTCTATGTGTGTTGGCAGGTCCTTGGTATTTCTCCCAGACTGGGAGGGCAAGTCCAAGCCAAGAGCCCAAGTACAGCACATCCAGGCTTACATAACCCAAGGGGCCCAGGGTAATCATTAACACTGGATTATTGCCACTGGCTTTGTGCTGGAGTCACCTGGTTGTTTGGATTAAATGTATAGTGGCCATTTAGACAAGGAGAGGGCTCATGGCACAAGGAATTAAGTGAAAACAACCTCCAGGGAGGGTAGGAAGCAAAGACTGTTGCAAACATTGCAGAGTTTAAACTCAAGCACTCCTCCAGGGAGCCAGATTCGCCACCTTTCATCACACCACCCTGCTCAGTGGGATGGTTTGCTTTCCATAAGGGTGAAGCTCCCTGATGCACCCCCAACCACGAAACTGCCAGGGAAAAAAGCCCCCACATAACAGTGATCAGGGGATCAGGACTCTTCTTAGGGAGTTTTGCCTCGATGACTGCCATGTGCTGCACACCAGCAAGTGAGCTCTCATTCCTCTCTCCTTGGCACACTTTCCAAAAGCAGACATTATTGGTACAGCCTGACTTTATCTATGCCCCATCTTTGCCTTTCTTTGCTTATCTCACGTGTCCTATTACTCTTTGCCTTCTGTAACACCCCGTGCGTTATTGACATGTGCTTTGTGCCACTGTCTGGGGCAAAGGAGATTTGGGACTTTTTGGTTCTGCTCCCATTTCCCCTCTGTGTTGGTCTGTGGTCTTGGCCACATCACTCCACTGCACTATGTTTAGCCACAGGTCACAGAAGTCAGGTTACCTTACAGAACATTCCTTTACTGATATTCCTGATGCTTAGCCCTTACCTCAAGTACAACGATTGCAGCTGACAGCTCCTTACCTCTCATAACTTCTTCTTCACCACCAGCTCTGATGAAGGGACTATAAGCCTTTTAAAAGCATAGAGTTCTTGCAAGTGTTAGGAACCAGATCACAATCATTTTGTGAAGGCTTTAACACTGCACGTGTCCATTCACACCTCAGAAACCAATCTATAATAGTTTGAAGTCAATGAGACTATGCCATGCTGTGCTTTGTCATGCAGAATTGCTGAAGCAGGAACATAATAAACTTATCTAGAGTTGTGGTATCAAAGCATTTAAATATATATTTATCATCTTCAGGTGGGTAAAGTCAGGCTTAAAGCAAGGCAACATTTTTCTGATGAATCGGCAAAGCCCAAGCAGGCTAGCAATTTCACATAAACACTGAAATCTCTTTTGGAAATCTCTAGGTTTTTTGTGAAAAATATCTAAAAATGTCATTATCTTCATGCAGAACTAATTCTCCTTTCACAGCAAAACATTGCAACTGATACATAAACTTACATTTCCTTACAGGTATTAACTAGATAACCCACACAATCTACACTTGAAAACCATACTTAAAACAGAAAAGAGGGAAAAAAAGAAGAGAGAATAAGCATTTCATGGAAAATATTCCAGGTTAAAATCTTAGATTTCTGTCCTGCTGTGTTCCAGCAGCAGAGATTTTGCATTACTCCACTTCAATTTTAAGTATTGCCTCTTGCAGAAAAATAAAAACTTCTGCCCCAAGTGTCTTGCAGGGTGAATTGCCCAACTTTACAGCAATATCAGAACTCCAGGTGAGATGGGGAGGAGACTGAGATGCTGGTTAAAATAAAGCAGCTGGTTTAATGCATGAAGTGGATAGGGTGAGAACAGAAGGGAATCGCAGATCCTCTTGGTGCAGGCTTGCTAATTAAAGTAAGTACATCAGTAGCCCTTGAAACAGCTGTGCTTAGCACTCTGCTCTTCAGGCTACACCTCAGAAGGTAACAACAACCTGGAGTGCCCAGAACTTAGTCTGCCTCATCCCTCAGTCCTCTTGCCAGAATGATAGGGATTCTCAGGGAAAAATAATCAGGGGTCTGGAGAGCCCTGGCTCATCAGCTGGCACTTTTTGGTGTCTGTTCTTCAGGGAGACACTTAAATCCCTCAGTGCCAGGTAGTCTCAGAGTGGTTCTTGCTGGGAGGAGAAGATCTGGACCCACTGCCCCATTGCTCCCATGGAGACTCAGAAGTGACTTTAACACCAGTAATGTTGCTGGTTTCTTCTTCCAGTGGAGGCCAAGCAACCAAAAGCAAAGTGCAAGAGATGTCCCGGCTTGCAGATCATGAGATCATCATGTTCATGCCCTTGTCGTTACAAATGGGAAGCAATGGCTGTTGCAGAACAGGGTGTCTTCTCCTCAGGCCTGAGGCAAGTTTCATACCACAGATCCTTCACATCACTCTTTTAGGCGTGGGTTTACAGAAGAGCCAACTGAAGTGCCTTGGCACCAAGACCTCTATCATGCCAAGCCTTTACCAATCTAATCCTGTGACTACTGGTCTTATTCCTTGCTTCTTCCATCCAAGGATCATACAAATGTAAATTAAGTCCCACAGTATCACTGTGATGCATTATTATCCCCATTTTACAAGAAAGGGAACTGCAGCACATGGCCATCGAGTCCTTCATCTTGGCTCACACAGTGAATCACGGTCACACTCTGAAGCAGACTTGAAGCCCTTCCTCATTCACACTAACCACTAAAGCTTGAATTCCTTAAAACTCTGCCTGCTCTAATCCATTAACCACAGTTTTACTGCATCTACAGACCTGTTCCACAGCAGTCAGGAGCCAAGGAAGGCATTTGGGTCCCAGCGTGGCTGCCAGGCGAGGCGTGAGGGCTCTGGCGAAGGGAGAGCTGAAACATCTTGCGCCTCCCAAGAACTTTCTGAGATGAGAAAAACTGAAGATAACTTCAGATCTCTTCCACCATCTCCCTATTACAAAGCACCTGAAAAGTTACGTCCAGGTGAATCAAAATTTGAAGTGCTATTGTCTTGATTACAGAGCTGGCTGCAAAGAAAATTAATGAATAATAATTTCAAGGAGGGATTTAAAATTTCCATTTTCATTTTATTGTCAAAGTAAATATATTTTTATGAAGAACAAAAGAAAATATACAGAATTGTAACTTATGTACACTGGCTTTATAGGTATTTTTGTTTCCAATTTACACAAATTTGATACGTTATTAAAAGATATTTTATATAGATATGCATCTATGTACAGTTTTATTTACATACATTCATAGGATGTGATATAAACCAGTCAATAGGTGATAGTTCATTTATATTAATTTCTAGAGGACAAAAGGAATGCATTCACTTTAGCTAGACCTGCTGTTCTCTCACAGCGCGGGCTCCTGCTCTGCCTAGCGCTAGGATCTCACTTTCCTGTTTCCCATTTTGCCAACAAAAAGGACAAACAGATGGAAAGGAAATGCAACATCCATTAAAAATCATTTCTAATTACTGAATTCTATTTTCTTCTAAAGCTTCTTACAATCACCAGAGTTCAAAAGGAGAAACAAAACAAGAAGAAACAAAACCAAAATCATTTGCCTGCTACCGTCTTATTATTTGTTTAAATTCCCTTCTTAGCCAGCTATCAGACAAATTTGTTTCTTTTGGCTACTGTTCTCACCCCTTCGCCCACCCCAGCTGCATGGAGCTCTGACATGGCTGTCGGGAAGGAGAGGATTAGCACTGAAGATCAACCCTAGACCCTGATCTCACAGTGCTGTCCCACCAGGCCATGATGCCTCCCATCCTCCCTGGGCACAGGCACATCCTACAGACCCTGCCAGGCAGCAGGCAAATGGAGACTTAGCTCCAACCAGCGAGGCTTTGATTCACGGTGGATGTGGGGATGCCCAGTGCTCGTCAGGACCACCAGGCACCTTTGAGGCTGGGGCTCTGGTTTCTCCCCAAGATCACACAAGAGGACGGGAGCAGAGATAGGAACAGAGCTCAGACGCTCTAGGAGATGTCTTCCTGCTGCCTTACATGCAGACAACAGCTCTTCTGCTAAAGACAATGGATGCTGCAAACCAGACTCAAAGGAAAGCAGTGTGTCCTTCGACAGCTGGGCATCCCCTCACCCTGTGGCAGCACAGGACAAAAGCAAGCACACAGTACTGAAAGGCTCCACTCCAAGCCATTTCATCCAGCCTGAGCTTCCCAGTTTCCTGGGATGTGCCTTTGCTTAAATATATATATATATATGTATGTATGAATATATATACATAAATATTTATATATAGCCCTAGCCAAGGGAAAGGTAAATGTGAGCTGGGGAAATCAGAGCTGCATAGAGATGTGCATGAAGGCACATTCCAGTGCTCTCAAGCCTTCTCTCCCCCTGTCCCCAACTCCCACTATTCCTCCTCCTATGGCCAGCCCCTACAAATCCTTGGCTCAGGCAACCCAAAAACAAAGGAGTTGTTTTCATTTCAAAAGGAATTTGCTGTTTCCAAACTGGACAAATAGAGCAGCTTAATAAAAACTCACAATGAATGGCCTGTACATGAGCAAAGCCCTCAGGAATGCCAGGGCTATAATTAACTAGCAGCAAGCAACTTTTACATTTTCCTGTGCAGCAGAAAACAGCTAAAAATAAAACACTGTAATTTCCAAAAGAAGCAGCAGCAAAGGAGGGAGAGATAGAAGGAAAGGAAAATAATATCCTTAAAAGAAAAAAAAAAAAAAAGGGAAGAAGCACCCTGCTCCCTTGACCCAAAAGGAACTTCACTCTCAAATCATCTTTGAAGGAACGTGGGGCACTCAAACATGGTGGTATGAAGTAACAGCATTGACTGTTCTGTGGCGACAAATAAATTATCACTAGAAATACAGTGAGCAAAGTGCTGTAATCGGCTGTTGTAAGATGGCTGGGTGGGAAGGGGAAAGCGGGAACAATCAGTTCACGGAGCGGACGGAGCGGTTGCTTCGTGGGAATCGATGCACCTTGACATGTTTGGACAAGTGGTCACTTCTAGCAAACTTCTTCTCACAGACGGGACACTGATAGGGTTTCACCCCCGAGTGGGAGCGCCTGTGCCGGGACAGCTCATCTGACCTGGAGAACCTGCAAGAGAAGAGAAGCCTTTTCAGATAAATGGGGTTTTATATTGCTGAGTCTATCACAGCAGGTAAAAAAAAGTCGTGTCGGGCCACTGGGAGACTCCATAAACTGAAAGGAACACAAAAAAGGGCTGGTTTGGTCTCAGCCATCAATCAGCAGCAGTGATGGAAACACACAACTATCAACCTCATGTCATGTCAGCTCTGGCCTCGGAGCAATATCTGGAGGAAATGTTTGTACCAATCTCGCCCTAGACCCAATAACATGGGTACAGCTACACAAAAACAGCTCTGCTCTTGATCCCTCTGCCACTCCCCCTCAAAGCTTCTCCCACAACCTCTCTCTTGCAAATACAAGCATGGACTCCTCTTAAGCAGAGACACCAACCACCGTCTTTTAGGAGCAGAAGTCTGCTTCAAGCTCCCACTGACACAAGCACAATGGATACCCACTAATTGCACCTAGTTTGAGAGGGACTCCAGATAACAGCTACCCAAAGCAATATGACAACTTCAATTCAGATGAAAAATTGGCTTCTGTACATCCTCCTGCAGACTAAATAAAGAGTCATTAACATCCCAATACCAAAAATGCTCAACATTTTGACAGCTGAAGTTCAGGTGGGCCCAAATGGCCATTAGCATAGTTACTACATGGGTAAACTGAAATCAAGGTTGAACCTTTAATTACCAAAACTGTCTTCTGTAGTCTTTTGAATTTTAGATATTTCCCACATTCCATCTCCATAGAAAAATCCCCAAATAGCCACTGTGAATCCTATAGGCTTTACTGAACTCAAATCAGCTAATCCTTTGGTCTTAACAGGGGGCTGGCTATATTCTGAGTTTGGACATGACTGGGAGACAGAGGGTTAATTAACAATGTCACACTAAAACAGCCCTGTCCAGATGGGTGCAAAAAATTTTCTGCCTGACAAAGGGCAATTAAGTGTTTTGTTGCCAGAACAGTAACAAAGAGAGGCACAGAAAGAGAGCTTGCAAGAAATGGTATCAGCTGTTTATTTACAATAAATAAATGAAGTCATGGGCACTAGCTGAACAAATGGGGGAAGGAACGTGTAGAAAAATGTGCCCTTCTGGCGCAAAATATCGCGTCACCAACAGAGCAAATACACTACTTTTATAAAAGGGGAAAAACAGGACCGTTGGGCTCCTATGAATAAGTCCTTCATGCAAGAAAAATAAGTTTCCACATAAAAGTTTTAATTAGCTCTAATCTCCTGCCCCTAGTTGAGGAAGAGGGCATAGGCACTGGGAAAGCTGGTAATGGTTTCCTCAGTTCCTGCAGCTCTTCAGTCTGGTCATGTTCCTCAGAGAGCACTCAGCCAGATCAAAGCAGATGCAGATACTTGCCATGGGTCAGATATGGTGTGGACACATCCCTCCCAGGGGTATTTCTAGGGGAAAGAAATTCACTTGCATTTTTTGCATTTCTTCCTTTCCTTGCTTTGGTATCCCCAAGGTGAAAGATTCAAATTCTCCATTAAGGACAACAGGCAGATGCCCTTATGGAGCTGTCAATCTGCTCCTTGTCTGGGATGAATTTTCTTTGTAAAGGCTATGACAGAGGTTCCTCTTCACCCCTTGTGCTTGCATGTTTCCTTTCTCTAGCACCTCTGCTCTTTTCAGTCTTAGCTTCCCAAAACCACAGTCTGGACCTGGGAGCAGCAGGGTCAGGGATTTCTCCCAAGTCCTTCGCAGTGAACTAGTTCCAGTGCCACATCCTCACAGGGATGCTCTTGTAGAGCTACAGGTGAGTGGGGCTGGAGAGGGCAGGATGTTGCCTGTGCACACTGCCTCAGCAGGACTCAGTGCTGGACAAGGAACAGCACTGATGCCAGGGGTAGTTACCACATCCAGGGAAAAGAGTGAGCAGAGAGGAAAAAGTGCCTTTGCAAAGAGCTGTCCTCTTAAACACAGACTCCAAAGGAGTAAAACCAGATGTGGCCAGGTTACCTTGTCCCATGTCCTTGGCCATTAAGGTCACCACCTGCAACAGAAGTGCGGTAGCACACGGCTAATTGCGCACAAGAGCTTCACAAGTGCATTTCGAGGGGAATTGCATGGATGGTGCCGGAGAAAGAGGCGCTTGTCAGGAACGAGCTCGGATGAGTTCATCTGATAAAAATACACTCTGCCTCATAACGATGTCCTTAGCTGAAGAGGCAGGAATGTTGCAACACTGTTCTCCAGCAGTGATGGAAAGATCAACTTACAGAGCCCACAGAAATAAACCTCGAGCTGTCTGTGTGTTTACAAAAAAACAACGCAAAGGTTAGGACAAGGAAGCCGGGAGGATCTAGTGGACTTGGTCTACAGTGAAATATTTGCAGCACCTTCTGGCACTGAGATCAACCCAGAAAAAGTGCAAATAATCCCCTGTGGAATGCCAAATTCAACTGAAAAAAAGGAAGCCCCAAGGAACACCTCATCATTCTGTCACTTCCATTTCCAGACAGATTCCTCCTTCCCAAGAAAGGTGGAGGGATCTGCGCAATCCCACAGCAACTAAGAAGAGTCTCTTTCATCCTTCTATCTGGTGCGATCCCAAAGGACCTGCAATTACATCTCCCTTGAAGACAAATCCTAGATCTCCCTGATGTGTCCTGTGTCTCCTGACAAGGACATTGCTATGTGGTTCACGGGGCAAGAAGAGTCAACAGCTTCAGCCTGGCACTCCATGGTCCCTACCATGGCCACAGCTGTTGGGGCCAACTCAGGCTGTGCCTCTCCCCTGTAGTGGAGGGGATGTTCTAAATTCATCCTGCCCATCCTGAAAGTTCTGCTACAATAAACCAGCACACCTCCTATATGCCTGGAACCCCTTGCACACACCACCAGCAAGAAAAGCCAAAGCAAGACACTTGCCCTACCCTACGTGCGGTACTTCCCATGCTGGCACAGTCCCATGCACTGTCCTGGCCACGTGCATTACAAGCCTTTAAACACTCCCTGCCAAACCAGGCAGAGCTTATATCCCACGCTGTCACCTGGGGAGCCTCCAGACAGAAGATGCAGTGGGGCAATTGCCTGATCCTCCCGCCTTGCGACAACTGCAGCTTTGCACACTGCTGCACCGGGGGGGAAAGTGGGAGTTCTGTGCCACAACATAGCTCCTGGGCCTGGCCCACGCTGCAGCTCAGCTCTTTGGCTGGGGCTGTCTGAGGAGCAGGGCTAACCAGAGGCTGGTGTGCCAAAGGTAGAAGCTGGCACGACACGGATCGGTGCATCGACCGGGACAGCGGGGTATTGAACGCCACGGGTCACTGGCCACTTACACACAAGAGCCTCTCTGCAGCCTGCCGAAAACAGCCCTTGCCCTGTGCCAAGAAAGGGCATAAGCAAGCAGAGTTCGGCTTCTTCCAAGGAGGTGCTAGGGTTCTCCAGCTGTCCTAGGGGTTAGCAAAAGGTTTTGCTGTGTGCACGCTCCTACATTGCATTTAAAGCATGCAACCCATCATAGCAGGGCTGCCCAGAGAGATGGGGAACCTTTAACCCCCCAAAGCTCAGGCACTTTGTGCTAGGCAACACTTTGTTTTGGTTTTGAAATTACTATCTCCAGTGAGGTCAGATCTTAAGTGTTTTTAGTGAAAAAATAAATACACAAGTACAAGAATGCAGTGAAAGGAGGGGGAAAGCAGAGCCCAGCAGTGTTTTAGTGCTTAAATTCATTTGAGATTAGCTAAAACTGTGAGCAAACAGAGAGTCCAGATGCATTTGACTTAAGTCATGTGAGATCACAGCTCTCACTGAACTTCTGGAAAAGGTAAACATGGTTTATTGATGAAAGGGGACTGCGTAATTCAATGCTCAATTGGGTCTGGCCTTTGATGTGGGAGCAGGGTACAGGGGATGTTCAGCAATCTGAGGCTGGTGCTAGGTGAGCACAGGAGGCAGCTCCCTGAATGCAGCCTCTGTGTTGGCTGTAAATGCCTTCTCTTGGGAGCAGAGCCCTTCCAAAGTTTGGGGGTTTGCAATCACATCCTGGGCTGTGAAAATCAACAAGGCAAACAGAGAAAGAGTTTGGAAAACCCTTCCAGCCATTGTTTCTTGTAATATGTTCCTCATAATGTAGGTAATTTCTCAATCCTGTTGGGCTCATCTTTAAAAAGTTGTGGTGGTTGGAAGTTCGGGGTGTTCCAGGTTGCAGGACCTGCACTTCTCTTGGCCCAGCAGTATCCTACTTTTGATCCACACCATTCACTGCAATACTGGGACAACGGAGGCACCTGTTGTAAACTCCATCATCCTTCACCACTTAATATTTTTCCTAAACGTTCCCCTTTGGTTTGCAGCTTGGGGAACACCAGCTCTCTAACAACATGGAGCTGGAGAAGGTTATCCACAGGCAACACTTAAATCTCTGCATCTTGAGCCATAAAATCCCTGGGAGCATTGGTACACATCTCAGCATGGATCAGACAAACCCTCATGTGCCACATGTAATTGTCACAAAAAGCAGAGTTTTGCTTACATCCCAGCACAAGGAAAGCCAATATGACATCCACAGGCACATCTGCTGCCTGTGTGCTTGTATTCTGGCACTCAACCAAAAGGAGCGAGTGCCTCTCCTGCAGGTGAGGGGCAGCCAGCCTGCAGCCTCTGGGACCAACCCACTGAACATCATGGCTTTGACGTCAGGGCATCCTGAGCAACGAGGCACTGAGCTAGCTCATGAGACGTGCCACCAGGACAAAAGGAAAGAAAATCACCACCAGTTTCTAGAGCCACCATAAACTGATCTCCTCAGTCCTTTCAAGAGGCAAACGTCAGACTGGCCTGCTTGGGGATCAAAAGGTTCAGCTCCATTCTGACCTTTTCCCTCAAACCAACCCAGCCATCTCTAACTGCTACACGTCTCACATACTTGCATTTTTACACAACACTCTCCTGTTACTTTTTACCTCATCTGTTGCCCATGATCACAACCTATTTCCTCATTAGACACTGTTCACTGTAGCTCTGTCGCATATTCTTTGAAAGAAATTCAGTTTAATTTAATACAAGGTAGTTAACATTATGTTTTCTCCCATCATCATTTGTGGTGCTGTATATTAACACTTGCCAGTAGGCAAGTAATACAGCTAATTGGAAAGAGGGAGGAAGGCTCCCATCAAAGTTTCCTTAAAATAAAAATTCAATATTTTTAACAAAGATTCAATTTTTCAGCTAGTATTAAAAATAAAGTAAAATAAAAAAAATGAAGAGATGCCCTCTGCAAAACGTTTTGCTCAATCAAACCTGCAATCTTTCATTCAAGCAATGCTTAACTCCACCTCAGCCTTCTGGTTATGCTGTTCCATCTGACAGCTTTTTGCAACTTTTAGTGGCACCCACGCATTCTTCTGAATGCAGGCAGAGAATAAAACCCCAAGTATGCCAGAGTGTCACTGCCAGCATTTCCAGAAGGAGTGGGATGGAGTGCATTTTCTGTGAAAGTGCACAGAATACTGCTTTTAACCACACTTGCCTATCACAGCCCTTCATTGACCATGTTTAGTCCCACACAGTTGGAGCCACACACGTCCATGCACAGCAATTCTACCCTAAACCACCCAGTTCACTCACAGCTTCAGCTGGTACCAACACAGGTCTGTGTGCTGCAACCAGACCGATGCAAACACCTGTGGTAACAAGCTTAATCTGACCCTCTAGAATTAAATACAAATTGCAGTGCTACTCCTTCTATTTTTTTAAGACACTTAAACAGCTGCTGCCAGCAGGTGATGCTCTGCTATTTCATTTATCAAAGCCCCTGGATCACCTAACAGAAAGAAAAAGGTCTTCGTTCTCAAACCAGCCAAACAAGTTCTGGGAATAGAAACAGTTTATGAACCAGAGTACAAACCTACTTGCTCAGCAAGTTAGGTCAAGTGAGCAGAAAGGGGCAGGGGGATTGGACAGAGCTGCACCCCAATACTAACCTCCATCCACAGCCCGGCCACGTGCACGCAAAGGGCTTTTCTCCTGTATGTCTCCTCAGGTGGGCTTTCAAATGGCTGCTTTTCGTGTACATCTTGGTACAACCAGGAAAAGAACATTTGTGCATTTTAATGAGTTCAGCTGCAGGGTTCTTTTGAAATTTCTGACCCATGATGATTCCCGTCTGACCCTGGATCATGCCTCCTGGCCCAATTGGCTTGGCAGCGATGGGGACAGGAGCAATGCGGACAAATTTAGAGGACAAGTTCAAATTGGACGACTGAACTATCTGAGGCACAAGGGCAAATGTCTGTCCTTGGATGTTGACTAGGAGCTGTGCAATTTTAATATTTTCCTGTGCTGGTCCTTGGGAACTGGGGCTTGTGTTGGACTCCTGTTTGATCTGTACAGGCTGAATTTGGAGCATAACTGGTATCCCATTCTCGAGAGTCATTCCTCCATTTGAAGCATGGCCACCTTCTGTTGTGCTGCTCAACTGTTCATTTTTACTCTCTTTTAAACTGGTGCTGGGTAGCATGTGGTCTTTTTGCTGTAGCGAAGCAACAGAAACTTGGCTGCAAGCTCTCAAGTCCTTGGTCTCATTTTTAGGTCTTTCTTTGAGCTCCAAGTCCATGTTCTCCTCCAAAAATTCCTCAATTTCCTCAAGTGTGGGCTGAAATGGTCCTGAGTCTTCCATATCCACAGCAAATTCAGGCAACCTAAAGTACTCCTCTTTCACTATCGGCTGAAGTCTCCTTTTGTCCCACCATGATGTATTGGTGTTCCCCAAAGATGCCTGGGACAATAAGTAGTCTAAGATACTGTCCTGACTTTCTGCACTGGACGTGCTTCCATAGCTGGAGCTGAGGACCTGGGAGTCAGGGCTGGAACAAGAACAAAAGCTGGACGAGTCACTGTCATCTTCTGACAGGGGAGAGGGCAGCATTTGGTAGGACCTCACCCCCGCTGTCATGTCCCCAAAGTATCCAAGAGAAGATCTTGTAGATGAAAAGGATTCATCAGTAGGCAGCAAGTGATCCACCATTCCTGGGCGATCTCTTAAGGATATCCCAACAGCATATACCAGGCAGCCAAAGTTCAGGTGAGAGCCTGAGTGTACGAAAACAAAACAGCAACAGTCAGAAGTTGGTTTAATTGTTTATCTCCATGAACTAAAGCTTGGAAAGCCCTCTAGCCCATAGGAAAGTCAGAGCATGCAGCCTCACTGAGTACACATGCTGCTACATGCTTTGATACGTCTGTACCACCCCCAAGGACTGTCAGGGCCAAAGCGTTTTGCAGAATTGCACCACGTATTTGCAAAAGAATTCTTTCAGAAATCATTTCCCAACTGTGTGTGCTCTAGATTTACATCTCCGTTCCAGAATATTACTGGCAAGAGAAAATAAATTATGTGCTTTCGCCTAACTACAGCCAAAGAAGGGAATGGGGAGGAAAATAATAAAGTGCTGAAATTTTTACCACCACCCCCCAAAAAAAAAAAAATAGTTTATTGCTGGTGACCATAAAATGCAAATCCTTTTCTTATCTTGTAGCTTTCCACCACTTTATTTTTAACTTCCTCAGTTCTACAAATATAGGCTGTTCAGCATAATGCAAGGATCAATCTACCAGGAGCCAAAAATATTTACTGTGCTTCAGCATTTACTAGGCGGATTTTCCCCTCCAGATGTAATGAATCAGTGCGCCAACGTCATCATCACCTGCACTGTCCTTAATAAGGCTGGCACTGCACTGAGCTAATTACCATGTCCTGCAAGCCAGCTGGTGGCTGGTTTCACCTCGCTGCTCCATGCTCCTTTCTCTCCGGGTACGGAGGTGGATGTGAGCTGAACCTCGTGCCAGTTGCTAAACTGGGAGGGCTGTACGAACTGTACGGACCCCCGGCATCTCAACCTGCTGTGAGCCACGGTGGGCAGCTGCGCCGCTAGTTTCCCCCTCCCCCGTGTCGAGGCGACGAGCGGAGCATCCCGCAATCCCGACTCACGTGAGCCGTAATCCCGCTACAACCCCACGGAGCCAACAACAGCAAGCTCACCCTCCCCAGCGCAGCCCACCACAACGCTTGCTGACGGCGGCGATTGCCCTGCGCTTTCCCGTTTAAGGCAAGAAAACTTCCTAGAAAGGTTTCTGGGGAGGGAAAGGCAGGAGGGACATCTGTGTGTTTTTTTATTTCCCCCCCCCCCCTCCACCGCCTCCCCGAGGAAGAAAAAAAAAAAAAATTGCTTACGGATGGAGACTATGCCTCCTAGAGAGCAAACGCAGAGACCTGCCGGTGGAGCGAACACTGGCCCTCAGTCATTCGCTCAAGGTGACTGATTGAAAACAGGGCTGTACATGTGCATAATAAAACAACTCTTTCTGTGGAAGGTATGTGGACTGCAGAGATAGAAGTCATTTGATCAGCCTATGAGGTTTTGCGTGTGTGTGAATTAGGAGGCATGTGACCCAGCGCGAAGGAAATGCCAGTCAATCTTGTTACACGCTGTCATTTTCCACAGGCTCTGCTGCTGCGCTTTGGACGCTTTGCCATGAATAGTCAATAGCTCTCAGTTTTGTGCAGGGAAGGGGATGGTTGCTACTGCTGTGGCAGAGCATCCTTGCTGCCTGATCTCCAAAACTTGCCCTATCTTTCCTTCTCTGGAGAAAAAAAGTCAAAAGGTGCCTGTGTGCTCAGGGCTGCAGCAAACACAAGGTGAGATATTTTACACAACACCCCTAAAAAGCTCTGTTCCATTTGCAGCATCTATTAATATTTCACAGGAAACAGGGGGGAAAAACCCCGTATTTCTTAAAGATACGGCTTCCTCATTCGAACGCACATGGAGGAAGCAGGGAAGGATTGAAAGAAAGGCTTAAAAGTAAGATTGCACGTTTTCCTGGTATGTGTGTCCTGTCAGTCAGCTATGCCTCAAACAGATAATGAAATACCCACATGTGCCTGACACGAGGAAGTTCAAACAGAGGTTAGTGGCTCTGTTTTGTGACCTTAGCCTATAATCATTGCTTATAGTAAAAGTGAAGAGTCAAAAGAGCTGAACTATTTCTAACACACTTTTTTTTTTTTTTTAACTCTCTGCGTTGATGGAAAGTTTCCCCAGCAGAAGTCCCAGAGCTGAGTTATTCCAGTTTTGAAACAGAAAATACAATCTGTTTCTGACAAGTTTGTATTGGCATCCAGTAAGAATTCACCCAAGCAGATTGTTTCTATCTTGCATCAAAAACTGGTGACTGTCTTGTGAAACTTGGGGCAGAAATAAGGACTTGCCCTCAGATGGTTTCTGATTCTTCCTTCTATGTCTGCATTGTTCTAACTTAAACTCCTGAAGAATGGGGCTGTGAGAGAAAACTGGGCTGCAAGGTGTGTTTTTCTAAGAAAAGCTGGCGTGCTCTGCATGCACCAAAAGCAGTAGCAAAGTTCTTTAAAAAACCAAAATAAAATCATAAAATGCCTGCAAAAACTAGAAAGCAGCATATCAAAATATCCATATCTTTCATTGGGAATAGAGCTAAACTGTAATTTGAATAGGGGCTTAAACGAGGGGAAAATTAGAACCAACCCCTAGCAACTGCTGTGGGCCAGTTATCTCAGCAGAAAAGAGCCAGCATGCTTGTTTCCCATCTCCTTTGACAAGGAACATTGTTACTCAGTGTAACCAGAGTCTTTTTAAGAGGGAACTGTCAGAGGCAAATAGATCCAGGCGCATTAAGGGCCAGTTCTGCTTTCTGTGCACTCTCAAAGCTTGCAGAACAGCCAAGAAGATTTTGGGGAATGCCTGGAATGCAGGATCAGGCCCTGGCTATATTTTTCTCCTAAAGGCCAGGCTAACAACCAAAAGGCTTTCATCCCTACTTTGCCTGAAGACTCAGCCAAAACCAGAAGATTAGAAAACAAAACCAAAATAAGCCAGGGCTGTGAAAGCTATGAAAACTAATGATGCTGTTTCCATAAAGCACTTTCATCTCTTGGAGCCCTGAAAACATGTTAGAAATGTAAGCACCTATAGTGAGACCGCAGTGCCTGAGCCACTGAAAACAGCCTGTTCTGGAGTGAAACACAGCAGCTGTTCAACAGCACAACCGTCTCCAACTTTTAAGAGTTCCCTGGGTTGTTATGATGTCCTTTCTGCCAGAAACATGTTGTTCTGTTTAAAACCTGTCTATCTAATTGCCGACTAAAAAAAAACCAAAAAACAATTAAAAAACAAAACCCACAATGGAGAAGGAGTATTTTGATGCAGAGCAACATTAAAATGTTAAATCCTGGGAACTTGCTGAAACACGGGGACCTATTTCCTAATCTGTCATTTCTGGACAGTCAGCCCAGCACAACTGATCACACAGCATATATGGGATGCTGACAGTCATTTCCTATGTATACTGCCACAGCTTTTTCTAGTTTAGGACTAATCTCTTTAGGGTTTTCTCTTGTTCCCTAGAAGGTTTTAAATCTGTTCAGGCTGACTCCTGCTCCACAGAGCGTGCCATAAACCAGGCAGTAAACCAGGCCCAGCATTTCTAAGAAATTAAAATAGAAATGCATGGAGGGGGTTGAAGGGGGGGGGGGGGAACTAATTAAAAAAATAATAAAAAGGAACCACGAGCCATGAGTAAACCCATTTGCTCTCCTCTTTTCTGCTAAGTGGCTGTGCTGCTCCCTGGACACAGGGGGGTGTTTAGAGTCTCCCTGTTTGTTTTTTTCCAAACCCAGCACTTCTGGGAAGCTGCAGAAACGTTCCCAAAACTTCCTCTTCTGAAAACTGTCCCACTCCAGTCCCAAACTTTGGTTTCCACAAGAGGAAGCACTTCACCTGCAGAAGGCACTGGCCACATCCTCCCCACGGAGCGCACCCTGCTGCCTCCTGCACCCCGGCAGTGAAGGGTGCCCCAAAATAACGCGTGGCACCAGCTGCCTGGGCAGGGAAGGGAGGGCCAGGGGAAACACATATTCCCACCCCAGCACAAGCACAGCCAGGTTTCCACGGCTGCAAAACATCTGCTTATTTGGGGTTTTGACTGTGGTATTCTGTTTTATTTGTGTGTGTGTGGGAGGGGGGGATGTTAATTATTATTTATTTTATTGGTTTTCCCTCTATCTTTCCCTCTATCCCTTTTCAGGAGGCTTTAGGGACCCGAGTTCCCCCTTTCTTCTCCTCCCCCCTCCCACCCGGCGTGGTCCCCTGGTCGCGATGACCGGGAGTAAACCCCCTCTCCCCGCCTGTCACTCCACGGCACGGCACCGGTCCAACCCCAGAACAGCCCCCAGCCCTGGCCGCAGCCCGGCACCCTCCCGCTGCACTGCCGGGGGTGGAATTTAATCTGCCACCTACCCCGTGAGAGGGCAGCAGCGGCACAAACACCCCGGCCGCCGGTGCGATGCTGCGGGTGCGGGGGCATCGCCAGCGGGTCGCCCCCCACTCACCCTTACCTGAACTCCTCTGCGAGCCGGGGCTGGGGGGAAAAGGCCAGGAACGACCAGAAGACTGCAAAAACAACAGCGAAAAAGGAGGAAAAGAAAACCAGAAACCAAACAACAAAACCAAGTAAAAAAAAAAATAGAAATAATAATGATTTTTTTAAAAAAATTAAATAAATAAACAAGGAGGGTGGGGGGAAAAAATCCCCCACACAACAAAAACGCAGAATTAAAAACAAACAAACAAAAACCCAAGAAGCAAACAAGAGCAGAGCGCGATGCCGCGCAGGCAGGAGCGGACGCGGAGCGGCGGGAGGCGGGCGCAGCTCCCCCGGGAGGCGGGTGCGCGGCTGCGGAGCGCGGCCCCGCTCCCGTAGTACTATATCCCCCTCACATGACGGGCGCCCGGCGGCGGCGGGGGAGGCCGGGGAGAGGCTCGACCGCGTCCGCCGCCACCATTGGCCCCGCGGCGGCGGGGGCCGGCCCGGCACCGGCCTCAATGGGAGCCGCGGCACCGCCCGGACCGGCCCCCGGGGCGGCGCTGGGCCGCCCACAGGGACCACGGGGACGTGCGAAACCCACGGGGGATGCGCGGTCCTGGGAGAGTTTAGAGGGGCCTGTAGCGATAGGACAAGGGGTAGTGGTTTTCGAAGTGAAAGAGGGTCGATTTAGAGTGGGTATAATGAGGATGCTTCATAATGAGGGCGATGGGACACTGGAACAGATTGCTTGGAGAGGTGGTAGATGCCACATCCCAGGGAACATTCCAGGTCAGGTTGGACAGGGCTCTGAGGCAACTTGATCTGGTTGAAGATGTCAGTACTCACAGCACTAGATGGCCTTTAGAGATCCCTTCCATCCCCAACCATTGCGTGATTCTGTAAGTGTACAAGTCTCTGGACATCTCCAGGAGACAAGCAAGTCCCTGGGGAGGTGCAAATCCCTGGAGGATTGCGAGGAGTCCCATGTCCTTTCCCTGCTGCATGCCCTTGCTCTCGCCCCACACCCTCACACCTGCCCCTTTCCTGCCTGCTGGAGCTTTATGGGGGACTTGCAGCATGATAGAAAGTATTGGGATATGGGACATGTTTCTCTCCCTCCCTACATTGTTATTACAGTCATTACTAGTTTTTAATATAAATACATACACTAATTTATATATATATATATACACACACACTATAGTTATGCAATATTTGGCATGGATCAGGATCATATTCAACCCCTGCAGATGTGAAGCCCACCTGAGGAAGCTCACAGTTGCGCCAGCTGCTGCAGAAGTCAGTTTTTCTGCTTAATTGGTGTTTTTTCAAATTCAGTTTTTTCTTTTTTCAGATTCTTGGGAAGGTGAAGTGCAGGATACCAGAATGCAGTCTTGTGACAACAGGTCTGTGCACCCTCTTCTGAAGGCACATGGGACAGCACACCATTCCTATCTCTCACTGTGGACCTTACTGTCCTGTAAGAAAAATGAAATATTATTTTCATTTTGTGGTAAAACTGAGGCACAGAGGGTCAAAACAAGCAAACCAAGGTGCAGTCTCATCTCTCTTCAACTCCAGCTCAATTTAAATTGGCAAAAATATCCTCCATCTGCATTTCTTCCGAATTGCCAGTAACACATTGCACATCCTGCCAAATGTAAACCAGTCACTTTCCAAGAGGGCATTCAGCCTCAAAAACTCACTGCAACAGGGCCTGGCAGCAGCACAGGGGTGACCCCACAGGTGTGGCCTCACTCCAGGGGAATGGCCAAAGGACCTGGGAATGCTGAGGGCTCTGCTCTCATGCACATCTCTCTCTTCCTCTCCACATTGTCTCAATGAATAATGCATGAATACACACTCATCACAATCCTAGATACTATATTTATACAAGTACATCAGGGCCAAATTCTGCATTAGTGTAACTCCACTGACGTAAAATGCATTACATTGGTAAAAATGTTGGCCTTAAATATTTTTACCCAAAATAGATGTTTGGCAAACCTTGCTTTCCTGCTTTCTCTCAGTTAAAACCCCTTGTTCCCTGAGTTGGTAAAGTTTAGCTTGATGCAAAGGACATAAGGTTTAGATACAGCTAAAATCCAAGCCCTCAAGACTGAGTTTAAATGGAATTTGAATTGGCTGTACAGATATGAAATCCCTAACCATGAAAACAACCAAAAGTTGCAATCTTGATTTTATCATTATTACAACCTATGTAGGCATTGGGACACATTAGACATTTCTCTAACTTATGTTTTTCCACTTGCAGTAGACAATATCTTTACATTTTAGTTACAGTAGTTCCCAACTTCCTCTAAATTGCTGGAGAGGTACTGAGGTTCCATATTTACTTTATGTGTAAATAAAAGGGTGTTCTGCTTTTCAAGTTTCATCCATTTTACTGGGCCCACAAGCTTTTTGCTTCCCTAAAAGCACCACTCAGGCATCTGCCCTTGTGTAGCTGCACGCTGAGATGTAGGAGGGATCTCATGCTTTTTCATATCTGAAAAACCCTACAGAGCATCTTACCCTTTCAATATAAGGCAACAGTGACCACTGCGAGGTGAAATGCAATGGAAAATATCAGGAAAGTGTAACTAAGCAGTCTGTGTTTCTCCCTGAAATTTCCCTGGGGGAACAAAAAAAAGTATTAATGATGCAGGCAGGCAGCACACAGCACTTGGGAAGTGAGTCCAGAGCATCCAGGATGAACCCCTGACCTGAGCTCACTCACACTCTGTGACAAGTTCTGGATGTACTGAATTTTTTGTATGTGTCCAGGTCCCCTTTGCCATGCACACAGAATCCATGGGAAACTTCAGCAGCTCTTCAATGTTGTTTCAGTGACTGTGTCTTAGGCATTCCTGGGTGTCCAGCACTTTGTGGAAATTGCTGCCCTGACTAGGATACTGGACATCAGTACACCCTGGACAAATATTCAAAGTCCTCTTTTTCTGCCCAGACAAAATTTCTAGACAGAGAAAAAGGACATATTACAACCAACCAAACAGGATATATGACAGCACAAGTTCTGATGCCTCACTTCAGCACAAACCTGGCACTGTACAACAGAGAATACACAAAAGTCACTGCCACCTTGAGCCAAGATCTGGGGGCTTGGTGAAACCTGCCCACAGTTTCATCCTGTACAGCATCTTTCCTGAGCAGATTTCATCAGAGAGATTTCCTTTCCTAGAATGACCACATTGTTCTACCCACGACTCTGCTGGGATGGCCCTGAACTGCAGCCCTGGTTTGGGGTCTGCTGGCACAATTTGGGGCTTAAACCTAAAACTGAGAATTACAAAATACAGTGGCAGATGCCAGCCTCTGGGCTGACTCAGCCACTTCTCCATCCCTCTGTGATCTCTGAATGCACTTCTCAAGCTGTGGACTGATTTACTGATTAATCCTTCAGAGTCCCATGACAGTGAAAGCAAACTGACACACATCTAAGTTTTGCTCAAGGTTTTGGAAAAACTACAAGCCTTTATTAACAGCAGGAGAAATGCAAAGATCTAGACAAATATAATGATTTCTGATCCTTTTGTCTGCCAACTTTTCATGAGAACCAGGAATGATTGTTGGGCTGGGACAGGCTTTTGGGAATGAGTTTTTATGCAGCTGTGACTGATGTCTCACATCAGCATCTTTCATTTTGTAATGCAGCACAACTGAGCCCCCACTACCTGCTACAAAATACATCTGTCTTTTCCCTTGCCCCATCATTTTTGTGCATCACTAAGAGATTTCATTTCCTCTGTTCATCTCTTCAACAAGTCCTTTGAAAATCTATTATTACTTCCACTCCTTGATATTACTTGGGGATTTTCCATTCTCTCTTTTGCCACCTTTCAGGAGAGAACTTCAGTCAAACTGGTTGCCCTACTCAGACAAGCTTTCTAGCATTCCCACAGCCCAGTCAAACACTGAGAATAACGTAAAGTTAAGGTCATTTTAACTGGCTTTTGTCTGATGGCTGCATGTTAAAGATCTAGTCATGAAAGGCAAATAAACCTCAGTATTCAAGCTCTTAAGAATTTCCCTGGAGATAATAATTACACTGCTTTATAAAGTTAAAAAGGAACCATAGGCTGAAGCTGTTCCCAGGTTGTTTTGTACCACGTAGCAGAGACTCATTAAAGGTGGGAATGGCAGCAAAGGACTCGTCCTTTCCACATTCAGCAGTTTACACCTAAGAATTGTCTGGCTCTGCCCACACATTGCCTTTCCATATGTGCTGTACAGAGGCTAATTTTTCATGCCTCAAGTTTTCCCATCCTTTGTACATTGCCTGCACAGTTCTGTGTTACAAATTACTTCTCATTTTTGAGGACACTGGAAGGAAAAGTGTTTGGACTTCATGGACGGGCAAAAAGAGGGATTTTGTTGCAGCAGGTGAGTGCTTTGCTGTCTTTAAAGGTCACCTGTGGTATTTCTGCCCCAGCCCTTGCTATTTCCCATTTACTGCAGCAGTAAACTATTAGTAATCCAATGAGGCAACCAGACACCTGGCAAAACAAGGGTTAGTCAGGCTGAATTGATTATTCACACATTTCCATGTGATTTACAAATCAAGGTTGCTCTTTTCCAATGAAAGAAGCAAAAATAATCAAGCAGAGAAAAAATATTATAAGGAAGTTCAAATTCTTTTTTTTTTTTTTGGGGGGGTGTTTTTTTAAATTAGTCTCCTGCAGATGGATCCCTTCCATGTGCCACAAAGCCAACAGTCACATCTGGCTGAGCTCCACTGGGCTTCAGCCTTCAGTACCAGAACAGTTACATGGACACAGAGGGAACAAAAAAAGCCTGTCAGACCCTCCAGTAATGTTATGATCACTTTAACTCAGCAGTCCTTGACACTCACAGATAAGGACTGTAAGTTTTCTCAGTACTACAGAAATATTGACACAAAGAATATGTTTATGCCTGGCTGTGGCTCTGCAGGACAAGATGGAAACAACAACAGTAATCTCAGGACTTGATTTCTTTGGCTTTGCAAGGGCATCTCTGCTGCAGGGCCAACTGTTTATTGATTTCTTTTTCTTTCCTTCATGGGTTTGGAAATTATGTTGTCTTTTCAAGTCAGAATCATAGGCCTAGGGGGAGAGAAGTTGGAAGAAACTCATTTTAGGATTTTTTTATGTTAATACTCGTTTGACTATTAAAGACAGTGGGGATCTGGGGAGGATTTCTGATTTTCTCTCAAACTTTCTCTTCATTAATATACTGAGAGAGAAAACGTCAGCTGACTTTCTGGCTGCATTTCTCTAGGCCATCTTTAACCACGTCCAGCTCTAGCCTCGGGTTTCCATGCTCTGCATTTTAATCTACTGGCAAAGCACCCACAAGCAGAGCTGTGCCTGCTGACATCATGAACCTCCGAGGGAATCAGACCACTTTCTGCAGGGATAGGGGTGGGCTGAGTGTGTGATAGAGAAGTTGTCCCATCACTGCCTCCCCTGGAGAGATGAAGCACAAGAGATGGGACCCAGCTGTTTAAACCCCAGTCCTGAAGCTGCACAGAAGTCGATGCCTTCGATGAGACACACAAGGCTCATTGTGAGAGCTTCAAGAGCACGGGGAAGAGCCTAGTCCAAGCTATCCCTCATGAAGATGACTCAGGGACAGGAGGTCTGTAAATGTAACGAAATCCATTGGTTCACCTCAAGGAAATTCAGCTCCTATTTCTGCTCACCCAAGTTTAGGAAAGCAAAATAGACTGGAAGATGTACAGGAAGAACTGGGCCAGGATGAATGTTGGCTCCAGTTCAGGAATGGATCTGTAATAAACTGTATTCCCCTGCCCTCTCCTGGAAGGAACATGCCAGAGCTGGGTGCTTTTGTACAGGATATTTGGGCTGAGCACTCCGGGTAAGTGACTCAAGGTGGTGAGAGGAGATGGTGATTTTGAAGACAGTGTTTACAGGAATAAACAACTATGACCATATTGTGTCCATCATGCACTGCCAACACCACATCTGCCAGAAACTGGCACACCTCTAGTGAATTTCCATGTTTTCAAGGAAGAGCTGCCTGCCTGTCTGGCCATTTGCGTTGGATTGGGAAACAGAGAGGGTGACCCAACCAATGGAATTCAGAGCCTCTCTCTCACCTTGAGCAGGAAACACAAAGCCTACACGAAAACTCCAGTAACCTTCGCTCAGGTCACAGCAGAGCATTGCCAGGTCAGAAATGCAGTGCCACAGCACCCACAGACCGTGCTCCTGTGAGCACCAGTGCGGAACAAACCCCATTGCCTGGGGATTGGTGAGAGCCCAAGGAGGTTGACTCAATATCTTTGGAAGTTCTAGAACAGAGACAACACCGAAGTCCACAAAATCAGGAAGATTCAGATCTGGTGTCAGGTCCTGAACCTTCTGCTGTGATGTTACTGTGGACCCTCCAGACACACAGTCCAGTGAATATGACCCATTCACCTACATTCACACACAGATATGTTAGGAGCTTTTGCAAAGCTTCTTGCTTTTCCACAGTCACAGGAACTACTTTTTTTTTCTAAACACTGAACAGCCAAAGCAATACTAGTCCTGTCCTACAAAGGACTGATTAGCAAATCGCTGCTGTTGAGATAATAATGGGAGCAATGAACCACAAGACCCAAGTGTAGAAACTATAAATAAGTCTCTTTGGTTCAATAGTTACAGCACAGGACTATGGATCAGGACCTCTGGAAGCACAGGATCAACAACATGTCCACTACATAACCTCACAAGTGTCTCACATACTTCCAGGTTATTTTGCATTTGTGTTCCACCAAGTCTTTCTAAACCCAGCAAAGAGTTATGTAAACAGGTATCCTCCAACATATCTGGTAGATAAATCACTCCTGTCCAGCTAGGGTATCCCCAGCCAAGAGGAAAATGAGACTGTGCATTGTAGACAGGCTGTGAGCAAATGCTGGTGGGGACATTATCTTTCAAACCTTGACTAACTACTCTGCCTTTATGATGGGGGGAGTCTCTGAGAGCAAAACAGGCACTACATAACATCTTAGGCAGTTCCACAACTGGTTTCTTTCCCTGCTCCACCCAAATATAAGTCCCATTTTCTGGGTTTGAGGTACTTTCAGCACATTTCTTTACCCTCTCCTTCACCCTCTTATCAAAGAGATGAACTTCAATAAAGTCCAGTTCCAGCTGCCTTAAAAAGCGAGAAGGTTTGTACTTCCTGCTTCAGTACAGGGGTTAAGAACAATGTTTCTGTTCAACACAGAAATAGATGTTAAATGCAAGTTGAGTTATATCCCTCCTGTGACTAATGTTCTAGCTTGTTTTCTGAAGTTAATTCTTCATGCGCTTTTTTTCCCCCCCTCTTGTACTTTCTTACATTTGTCCAGACTCCAGTTTTCCTGAGGGACTAATTACCCACTCAGCAGTTACTCTGAAGTCCAATTTTAATAGCTGGCAAAACTCTGTTCCTCTATGCAAGCTTTTAAAATAATTCCTCAATTTATTTCAAACAGCACCACTCTCCAGAGCTTCTTCCCAATTTGGGTTGCTCTGAACTGAGATTCGTTTTGCTGCTGTTGAGAGCTGACTGCTTTGCTTGTCACAGGGTAGATACTTTCTGCAGAATAATTAATAATAAATAAACACACAAGGTTTCCCCCAAACAACTGGATTGCTCATATAAAAAATTATCCATTGCTATGCAAGCCTCTATTTTCTCATCTAATGCATCCTTAGTAACAAACTAAAACCACTGATTCAGACCTGGATTATTCTTCTTCAAAACACAGATGTGATCATAGTAAGTGTTTTCATTCACACCCACCTTGGACTTGTCAAAAAATTGGGGGGAAAATTAGTCATACATTCTGTGATCTAATAATATCCATTTTCTAATTCTCTTGGTGTTTGGGAGCAAAATATTCACCCTTGCTGATGTAACAAGCAATAACAGAGAGCTAAATTCAGATTACTGGCTTATATTTTTTCCTCACAAACACTGCTTGAGAGGAAACCATGTCCTTTCCCGATTGTGCTACTATTTACATGTCTATACAGCCAGAAGAGACTCACCTCATCTCCTTGCTTTGCAGCTTCTCCACGTGTTCCCTAAGGATAAAAATCATGACAATGTATAATCCTGAACAAACTGATGTTCACAGAACAGACTTCAACTGCCTGGTGAAGAATATATAGAAAAAAGATTATGATAAAACTGGTTTTTTCAGGACACCAGAGTTGTGCTAGCAGCACAGGGAATATGGCAGCTCTTATGAGAAGAACTTGTAATGCAAGAGAACAGCACATCTTATTTAGAGATTTTGTTCTCCCTAACCTCTTCTCAATTACATGCTAATGCATTTTTTCCTAGAGAAACGTTATCTGTAAACATTTGCACATCACCCAGTCTTTGTCCAAGTGGACCTGGGATCCATCTGCTGCAGAGGCTGGTGCAGCAATAGTCCTCAGCTCTCAAGCCAATTTACCCCACTGATTGGGCAACATTTTAGATGGTTTCGTTTAGGCTTGCATTTAACAGTGACCATCCTGTGAACTAATGCAAGCAGCAGGGCTTTTCTAGAAAGCACTGTGGATCTTGTCAATCAACAAGCATCATCTCTCTTATTATAATGAAGCATTGATCATGTAAACTTGTCAGAGTTAGCTGAAGTTCATTGTGGTAATTTCCTTTTGAATTCTTGTCTAAATATTACAGTCCCTGAGGTAAATACTGGCCAATTTCTGCTCTGCAAAGTGTGAAGCATTGCCATGCCAGCCCTTCTCCTCACAGCCTTCTTAAGACAACCAGTCAAGAAAACTACTTCTGCTTTTACACCTAGAAATAAACTAGTTATCCCTACCAAAGAAGACAGAAAGAATGTTGGTTCTGAGATGTCAAATTCTTCACTTATAGCATGCAAAATCTACTATAATCACGAGTATAAGTTATTTGCTGATGAGACCCACAGCAAACCAACACAGCAGGACCAGTACTAACCAGGAGTTTCACTGGTGGGCTCAGTAGAGGCTAAAGAAATCAATTGCAAACTCTGGATCTTTTTGTCAAAATTGATTTGGTAATTAAATATTTACTTTCAAGACTTGTCTCAGTCGTATTTCCAGCCCAAAATTACAGATTCTTGAGAAATATCTTACCTCTTCACCTACATGCCAAAACCCAATCTCTTCCATTTTTGTAAGGCTAGCATTTTTTTAATACAGTTTTCTACATCTTATAGCTTTTCACTTCAAAAGCCATTTTGATGTGAGCCATCAAAAATGTTCCTGTTAATGTAACAGACTCTCTTTCACTTTCCCCAGGGCAGATCTTTGGGAGCAGCTACCACCAGCAGCCCTGAGCTGCCTAAAGAAGAAGACACTGTGCACAGCCCCAGGCATGCTGAAACTCCTCCTGCTGGACTGACAATTTGGAAAATCCCAGTATTTCCAAAATCCAAACTTGGGAGCTGTTCTTAATCTGTCATCAGCTTTTTAAGAAGAACCTAAGAACTGTCAGGGCATTCATAGAAAAATTGAAAATGTCAGACACTCCTTCCTTCCCCCTGACCTACGTGCAGAGCTGTCAAAATGGACCGTGGCTTGGGCCAGCACACTCTGCAGCGAATCAGAGACAGCATTTCACCAGTCTTGGGCTGGATTCAGCCCACTGCAGACTGGGTCTGGCAGATGTGAAATGTCAGCAGCCACTTCACCAGCGGGTAGGTCCGGCGGGGCGCAGGCAATGCTCGCAGCAGTGCCAGGAGGTCACAGTGAATCACATCCTGCTGAGCAGCACACGGTGTTTCCCAACCCGCCTGCCCTGCCGAAGCCCCTGGGGAGTGCAGAGGCTGATGTGCCTCAGGGAAGTCCTGCCCCAAGGATGTGCCAATCTCTTCCTTCCCTGCAGCACTGGTAAACCTCCCCTGAGGCAAACAGTCAGGTGTAGCAGTGTGTTGTCACCCTATTTCACCATGGCTTGTTGGGTACAAGCTGAGGCTGCTGTTGCTTTTGCCTTCTCACAAGCATCCAAAATAGCTGCTTACAGGTAACTACTCCTATCCTCCTAACCAGTGCCACAGAGATGCAAGACAAGCCACATCAGGGATTTACTGGCACCACCTGCTGTGCTGCCTGCTGCAGCTCCATGACAAATGGCATTTGCTTGTGCCAGCCAGTATTCCAAGCTCAGGAAAAAGGCTGCAAGTCTGATGGTATTTTATCTGCTTACAGGTCGACAACGGAGGATGCTCCTTCTAAAAATCAACTCCCATTTGCTCTCAGTAAGAGGTTTCTGGAGCAGCAGGATTTTGCAAGGAAGAAGAACCAGCTGTGTAAGCAGATCTCCACTGGGCAAAGTGGCAGTGGCCACCTGTGCTGTCAGTTGGTGGCCCATTAATCACCCTGCGCGGGGTGAAGTGGCAGCAGCCGCGCAGCTGCAGCAGCGGCACATGGCCAGCCCAGGCCCTGCCAGCCCAGGGAAGAGGGACAGTATTGCAGCCTTTGACGTCATTCCAGAGGGATCAAGCTCAGACATCTGTCCCAGTCAGAGATTGCACATGGCCCCCCAGAGAACAGACACGTTGTGCAATGCCAAAACAGACTTTACTGAGGAATTGGGCACATCCGTGCCTGACAGCAACGCAGCTCAGCGCCGTCAGGATCAGCCTTGAGTGGGTAGAAACGGCAAGAGTTTGGCAAACAAATTGATGAAAGTCTGCTCAAAGAGCTGTTTAATAATTTGCCTTCAGGCAAAACCATTTTAAAATAGAGAAGATGTCACTGTGCAGCAGCAAAATGGTGGAAAAAACCCCTGTTTGCCTTCACAAGCAGAGCTGTTTGCATGGGGTATAGGAAGGAAAGGGCTTCTTGGACTTTTTTCAATTTTTGGGGGGGCACTGCCTAGTGCTAATGGGCTTTGGAAAGAGAAATAAAGGATACAAATATTGTGATATCAAATATCAATTAGCATGAGTGTGTGGAGTTGTTTAGGTCTTCTCTGGGTAAAAGAATCAATGAAGATTCATGGGAAAGCCAGAAGATGGTGATGCTTTTGGAGATGTTGGAGGGGAGAGAAATCAGAGCACACAAAAAGACTCCAAGGCAGCCAAAGGAACTTGACACAGGCAGGAACACAGAAAACCCCAGGCCACTTGACTGGATGCTTGGGGCAAATGTTTCAATACCAAACTCATGTGTGGGATGTCACCTCCAAGGAGAACACGAAGGGCCAACATTTTTGTCCAGGCAATAGAAGATGAGCAACGGAGGGACCACTGGGCTCAAAGGTGGGTCAAAGAATCACGAGTTGGATGTTTTTCAGAAAAGGAATGAGTTCTGCTTTTCCCATAAAGGGCTGAACAGAGCTGCTGGTGGATCTGCAGCCTGTCGAGGCAGAGCCGGACCAAGTCCAGGCATCCCAGGGGAGGCTCAGCTGTGCCATGGCTTTGCTGCAAACCAGCAATGGGAAGGTGGCCCAGTCATCAGAGCCGAATGGGTGAGATGAATCCTCGTAAAAATACAAGCCAACAGAAAAGCTCCAGCAACCCAGAACAAGAGGTGCAGAAAGGAATAAAAATGTTGAAAAAAATTGTCTTGAGTAGAGGTTCCTGAGCCACACTGGAAGGCAGCCTCTATGTGGGACAGGGCCAGCCTAAGGAGTTGGCACTTCTCAACCCTATTTTGGAGCCCACTGAGACCCAGACAGGAGACAAAAAAAAATTTTTCAGCTCAATTACTGCCGCCTCCTCCTCCCTCACACCCACTTTCGAGAGGAAAACATGCCAGGAGCCTTCTTTGGCTGCCTTCAGGCCCACAGACCTGCTGAGGAGCCACATGAGCTGCTTTGAGGGGCCGTCTTGAACAGCCGCACCTTAAGGGAGCTGCAGGATTTACCTCCTGAAAAGAGATCAAGCTGTGGCCCAGGATGAGCACAGCCCTAAGTCCCAGGTCTAACACAGTGTATGGGGAGTGGAAGGTAAATCAGGCAAACTGCTGGAGGTTTCATTGGCCTTAGTTCATTGCAATGCTGTATATTCGAACAGAGGAGCTTAAAACAGCTTAGACGTATTGTAGTGGTAGAACTCCTTGCTTCACCATTTAACAGTGTCAAAGGCAGAAAATTATTTACACGATGCCAGAAAAGAAAATAAACAAGAGTCTTTTAACTAGTCCCTTGAGAATGTTTTAGCCATAGGCCAGGCTAAGAAAGCACTGAAAGGTCTACAGGAAACTAAATACGTGGATAACAAATTTAAACACCCTTATTTTACAAGACCCTTTCCCACAGCCACCGCTGATCTGAATAGCCTGAACAAACTCCATCAGATTTTTATCTGGGAAGCTTTAAAAGTGGGAACTGGCAAAAGGGGCTGGATCTGAAAGACAGGAACCAGATGCTTTCCTTCAGGGTACAGTCTAGGGAAATTTAGATCAGTAAATTTTAGCTCGTGTAACACACACATGAAGAAGACTATTGGAGAGGGTACAGCATGGCAAGCATTTTCAGCCTGTTTTCCCTACCTAGATGGTATCCTGCTGCTATACCTAAAAGGTTCATAGTAAGACAGAGACTGCCAATCTCAGCTGGAACCAAAGCTGTCCCAAAACCAGGTAATTTGCCTTGGACACACTGCTGCTGACAGGGGAAAAGCCATGAGCAGGCAGGGAGCAGAGTCCCTGCTGAGTCAGCCAGTGCCCAGGGCCCCCCTGAGCTGCTCCTACAAGACTGGGCTGACCAGGTTTGCCAATATTGCACAACCTCTGGGGAGATGGGATGAGGAGAGAAAACCATTGCAGTGGGCACCTGAATGCATCTGAGCCTCACAGCAGCCTCCCAGTATTACAAAATCCACACTCATATCATATGCAGGTGGTAGGGTTTCTAATTTAGAATCTGCAGTGGAACAAGAACAGAGAGAACATTCAAGGGTAGTGCCTAACCTGGAAAAAGTCTGCATTCAGCCAGGTGAAACTGCTGTCATGCCCAAAAGAAACTCCTACCAGAGCCTCTGAGCACCGTTTCACCCATTTTCCACAGAGAAAAGTCTGGGGTCAGGACACACCTTACATCTCTGGGGCATAAAGGCAGAGTTGGCAGCCACAAAGAACAACTCCAGGAGCAATCATAAACCTGCCCCTAGCCCAAATGTAGCAATGCTGATGCTCTCTGCAGACAGCTCAGCTGCAAACACTGCTCTGGGAGACCGCAAGGGAATGGCTGCTCCAGTGGGGAGCTGTACCCAACACAGAGGAGAGCCCTGCAGAAGTGGGGATGAGCTGCAGGGACACAGTTTGTGGAGTCTGTAGTGGGAGTTTGTCTCCTGTTGGAAGAAAGGGGTCAGAGTCTGAACAAGAACCTGCCTGAGAGGGAAAACAGGATGGGCAGCAGAGCACAGCAGAGGCTTGGAGGGCAGCAAAGTTGGGGTGGGTGCTGAGAAAGGGAGATGCTGGCAGAACATGGGAGGGAAACACTAGGAAACAAGTTTCCATTAACTTCATCTCCTAACCTCTAAATGTCTAGAAATCAGCCATCAGTGAGTGCATGAGCCACTCAATTGTGGCTGTCAGTAGTCAGCAAGACACATCCAGAAAGAAGACAAGCACTGAGAGTTCAGCACAACAAGAACTGAGTCAGAGAAGGTACTTACCTGAACCACCACTCCCAGGAGATGCCTGCCTGCAGCTGAGCTAGGGGAAAAGAACGATTTTCCTACAGGCTAAAGGGACCCATGGGAATCAGGTGTCGTTTAGTAATGACAGCATTCCTACCTAGGAAGAGAAAGCAGCCAAAAAAAGCAAAGTTATATTAGATCAGTATTGGCAGCACTGCTGAGAGAAACAGCCCAGGGAAGGGAGAATATTTTTTGGGCAGGGTCCTGGCTACTCAAAAAGGGTCTGGGGACCATGAATATTTCAAATGTGACAAATTCAGTATCACAGGAAAATGACCTTTACCCTGCCTTGGGAAAGGGGGTCATCCCTCAGAAATACCCACCTCCTCCAGCAATGGCGGTGCTCTCAGGAGCTATTTCCACCTGCAAGTGATGATGGGGTAAGTGATCTGCAGGTTTTTTTCAGATGAGAGGCCTTTGAGTTAACAGCAAATGCAAGCCTGCTGTGTTAAATGAACTTTATTCCATTTACAAAACAATATGAGCTCTCACACTGCCACTGAGTGGCTGCATCTGTCAGGTCAAACTGTGTCGAAGGGACTCTGACTCACTTCTTGCATCAGACCTGTAAGAAAATGAGTCAGGGATAATCTTTAATATCTCAATCAGCCCCATAATCCTCCACAGATCTCCTGCCTAAATTCATCTCTCTCTGGCAATGTCTTTGGGAGCCAAATTTGAGGCTCATTCTGTGCCTCATTCAGTGCAAGTAGGGTGTGGGAAATGACAATAGTTATCGCTCAGGGAGGTCAGCAAAAGAAAAAGGGGTTAAGGGATACACTCTTGGTCCACTGGAAGCCAGAGCATGTCGTGTATAGATGGGAGTACTGGTGCTCAGGAAAGCGTCACAGGACACATCTCAACAAGGATTGCCAGACCTCTGACGGACTTGGTGAGCCCATGGAGGAAACAGGATCCAGCCCTGATGGAGAGGGAGGAAACTGGGGGTGTGGGAATGAAGGGAGTAACAGGAGCCTGGGGGTGGAGTGTGAGCAAAGCAGTAGGAAACGTCCAGGGCTTGTAGTTGTGCAGGGACTGGAGCAGGGAGGGTAGGGAACAGTGGAAGAGCCTCATTGCTTGAGCAGTGCCTTTGCCTGATTCCTCAAGAGTTGGAGACTAGTATGAGATCAAGGAACTGCCAATCTGGAACAGACCAGAGGTACCTGCAGTCAAGTACCCGGCTTCCAGCAGAGTCAAGATCTGGATGCTTTGGAGGAAAATCTTTGATATCATCCCAATTCCAGGAGTGCAACACACCGAGTGTTTGCTCCCTCCAGGATAGTTACAGAACCACAGCAGGGCAGACAGGCCCTGATAAGCATATCAGGTGTCAGCTGAGCTCTTTGCACTTGCTACAGATCATACATCAAGTCTAATGACAAGGAATACAGCCTGAGGGGAACAAATGACCGCAGGTTAACAAAGAGGTGTCCTCTTAATACAATACACATGGGGAAGAACAGCAGCTGGCCCTGTGCCCAGCACTGCTACATGGCCTTTGAAAGCTGAGCAAGATCACTTTACTGGCAACATGGTGAGAAGGAAGAGTTGAGAATAATGTCTGTGATGATGGTTCTGTATTATTAGACAGAATTGTTTTTACCTGAAAAAAAAACTGTATCCAAACCTATTCATACAAGTTTCATCATGCTATCTTCTAAGGACATGCTGTGCCTAACAAAATAATAAACCATCTGAAGGGTTAACTCTTTCTCTCCCCAAACCTGCTCTGAGAGAGCTAGAACACAGATTTAAGAACAGAAGAAAAAGAGAGTTTTTCCAATTAATGTTTCAGCTAGCATCTGCTCTTTTTAATTAGTTGAAGTCTGGTGTTGTCTGGAGACAGAACTGCTGAGTAGAACTGTGCTGGCTTCCTTTCTGCTTAGCCAGCTATTCTGGTCCCTGTTGGTCCCTCTTGGTCTTTGGAAGCTTCTCCTCCATTTCGCAGAGGCCAGAGTCTCTTGTGCACTGACACTCTGTGCCCACACACCTCATATACATTTCACTGCAACAGGTTCCAAATCTGTGTTTCCCACTGGAGAGAAAACTGACAGAGGAAGACACCTTACAGGTGTCCTCTCCCCCTCCCAGGCGTGTCTGTGCATTACTTCACTTATCGAAAACTCAGTTTTCTTCCATAAATGGGTGTTGTCATAGAGCAGATGCAGGTGGATGGAAAAGGGTTCCTTGGGACCTGTTAACCTTCCTGTTTTGCTGGAAGCTCGCTGATCCTTCACCTCACTCTTTGTAACATGACCTTTGAGGATCTGAGCGTTTCAATTACACACAGATGAATAATTTACAAGTCACAGTTGTTGCAATAAACAAGTTCTTCTGCTCTGTCCAAACACTCGACATCTAATATTAAATTTCCCTCAATTTGCAAAAACCTCCAGGACTTAAACAACACTCAAAAATCTTTGGAGGAGAAGCTGATGAGCGAAGAGCAGGGTGGCATTTCACAGCAGCAAACAGCACTGACAGCAAGTACTTCTCTTATCTCCAAGCAGGACATTGACCTGTTGTACAAACTCCAGGTAGGAAAGCCACTGGTAAAGCAACCCCAGATGTAATATTTACCCAAGAGGAGACATTTCAATGGAAAACAAGCTACACGATCTGCTGACATCCTGGTGGGGAGAACAGCGGTCATTCACACAGGTGCAGCCAGAGGAATAGGAATGGGATGTGGAATTTCCAAGCATTTCTAAGTAATACAGTTGTTGTTTCATAAGGAGCATGTTAGTGCTGTCCATGATTCCACCTAAACAGACGTAAAAAGTGAATTTGATGCTTGTCCCACCAGAGATCCATCAGCAGAGTCACTTTGTTTCTTTGTGCCCTAGTATTCCATACTTCAAATAAAGATGCAAATAGGCAAATCCTGCAAGAACACAACAAGGCTGGCACTAAATACTCCTGAACCACTGCACCTGGTACCCAGTGATGCCTCATTCTCTGGTAAGGAGAAGTCAATCCTATGAGCTACTCAGGGAATATGAGCCACAGTTTTGAATTACAGATAATAGTTCCTGTACAAGCTTCTCTGAAGAAGATAGACAGGAATGAAACAGCTCAGGAGCAAAGCACATAACAGGGCTGTTTTTTATCTGTAATCCATTCCACATGAGCAGAAAGAGTTTGGAGCCATGAAGCATGTGCTTCCTTTTGTAGCTCAACCCATAACTTTACTAATCCTTTTTGCTCTGCTCCATAAGCCCTTGTTGAAGGAAATTTGTGTGCAAGACTTGCAGGATCAGCCTGTTTTACCAGCTGTAGTTTCATTATCTTACTAAGGTGATCAAAGCATAGGCTGTCATTGAAAGGGGCAATTCCAACCACCCCAAGCCCATGTGTCCCTCTTCCTCAAGCCATCACAGTGATCACAATAAAAAGAGATCTTTTCCTCAGGCAGGGTATTTTTCAGCTGGATCAGTTCCCATGCAGTCACAGCAGCTGAAGTTTTACCACAAAGCAAGGGCCAGGAAAGAGGCTGGAACTGTGCCTCAAGAGCTTAATGCAAAATCATGAAGTTAAAGCCTCAGGTTCCTGGGTCATTTGTCCCTGCAAATAGCCTGGATTTATAGTCCAGCTTAGGAAAGTCTCCTTGGCTGCAGCTTTGTGATTCTCTTTACAGTGGGCCAAATGCAAACTCCTAGGTCCCAAAAGTACAGAGCTCTGAGGGAAGTCTGGAACTAGTTACAGTTTTTAGTTGGGGGTCAGGTCTAAGTGGTTATTCAGAACTGGCCTTGAAATTGTATATATAATTTATTTGTATTCTCAGGCTCAACCTCCCAAATCTCACCCTCCATTGCCTGGAGACTTTGTGAAAATTCCATCCTTAGAAGTTTTCAAATGAGCTGGACAAGGCCTTGAGCAGCCTGACACGACTTTGAAGTTGTCCCTGCTTTGAGCAGGAGGCTTGACTAGAGACTTCCAGAGATCCCTCCTCAGTGCCATTACTGTGAGATTCTTCCATCTTCCCCTGCATCTGCATCAGGCTCTGCCACATCATCACCACCACACAGTCCCTGCATTGACTGAGCCACACGTCAGGGAGCCCGAGTCAGGTGGCTCTTCATGGCCTTGGCTGCATTAGCTCAGGAGCTGGAGCAAAGCACAGACCTTATCTGTGTGCAGTTGTCTCAGCACACATGAGAATAAGCTTTGCACTGCAAAAGAAACTGTCCCAGACCTGGCTGGGATCCCAAGCTGAAGACTGCAGAACGTTTTCTCTTCTTCCCAGCAGGATGGAGTCTGCATCCTCAGCAAGAACAGGTGTGAAATACAAATCACTGAGCACCTGCTGCTTGTTGTCCAAGTCATTACACAGCACAGGAGTACACACAGTGAAAGGACAGATGACAGGGGCTGTCTTGTCACTTCTGTGTGGCCCCTCAGAGATTTTAGCAGTTTTCATCCACCAGACTGAAGTCTAAGAATATGAAAGAATACCACACATCCATTTCAAATGAGGCATCTCAGGAACACACTGGGGCTGGACATCAGTGATAGGACACAAAGACCTGAGTGGGTTCTGCTCCATCAGCTTGTTTGCAAAGGTGGGAGCTGAGCTCACAGGTCTTCTTTCAGAGCCCTGTTCTGGAGTCACTTCTTCAGCCCAGAGGAATGACCAGGGTTTCTTGGTGCTCGTCAAGCCTGGAGACCTCATCTCTAAGGTGAAAGGGGCACGGAGAAGCGAGAGTGGGAAACCTGGGACAGAGCCAAATCCCCAGGCCATGCAGTACAAGGCTGCTGCCATCTCGTGGCTGCCTCTGGACATGCAAAGATTACCGGGGACAATTATCCCGGCTGAAAACTTTCCATTGAGATAAAATCCTTCCTGGAAGTAAGCTTCACCTGGAGAGCAGGTGTAAACAACAGTCCCAGTGGTTAGACCCCGTGGGGCCACAGCACTTGGGTACCACAGCTTTGCTGTTCCTGGGAGGTCTCCTCCTCACCTTCTTCAAGAGCTGCTCACCTGGTTTGGGATGGCTCCACCCCAAGTTGCAGTGATGCTTTTTACATCAGGCCAGCAGTTCCCCGTGCCCTATGACCTAAGGAGACAGGAGACATCCCTGTTGCTGTTGAGAGGCCCTGGACTTGCTGTGCTGATGCAGCAGTCAGTTTGTGGGGCCATTCAGCCTGGCCTTCACGAGGGTTTGGTGCTGGGAAGCTAGATGGTCTGCAGGGAGACATGCTGGGATCAGATGGGATGGATATGGTCTCAGTACTGTTTCTTTTGGCATCATTCCATTGACCTGTGGTGCTGATGGAGGGATTTGTAGTGTGAATAAGATACAAATGGAGGAGAACCACGTGGTCACTCTTTCTTCCCATTTCAGTCTCCCTACAGAGCTCAGCAGCAATGCACAGAACTCGAGGTAAGTGTGAGAGCAGCCACATATTCTCCATGAGATCTCCAAAACTATCTACTTCCCCCCAGGCAGAAGAAAAGTTAGATAACAGTGTCCCAGAGAGACCCAGCAGCAGAAAAACTTCTCCTGACAGCTCACCAGAGACCATACTGAAGCAGAGAGCTGGCTGCCCTGCCTTCAGCAGAACTCTTGTAGGTGTTGTCTTGTGGACACTCACTTGAGGACACCTCCTTCTTCTTTGTCTCTAATCATGGAAATAGGTTCCAACTTCCTCTTCTCCCTCCTGGGATTCTGCAGGTTCTGCAGCTGCACAATTCACCAGGAAAGAGCACAACAAGTTCAAGTGAAAGAAAAATCTGCCAAACCCTTTGGTATTTCTGTGGCATTTGCTGGTGGCTGCCAGGCTTTTCTCTCTGGCACATATTGTGACTCACATCGCAGAAACTAAAGTGAAATACTGAAATAAATGAGTCCCCTTGAGAACACTCTGGGCAGTGGGGAGATGACTGCTCAGTGACCTGCACAGCATCCTGGGTACACAAGGAGTTTCCCGTAATGATAAGACTACAAAGGAATATTTATTTATCTAGATACTTATTCAGCTTTCATCTCTGTCAGCATTTCTCAATCAGCCATTTCAAAATGTTTTGCCATCACTAATTAACCCTCACAGCCCCTCTGCAGTAGGATCAGCATCCCTGCATGCTCACGGAGTGAGTGAATGGAGAAGTAACCCCTTCATGAAAAAACTGAGCAAAGAAATTATGATATCTTGGTGTCCTAGCGAAATCACCCCCCTAAAAGTCCCAAAATCTCAGACATCCTGTTGTAAACATAAGCAGCCACCTGCCATTCATACCATGCCAACTGCATGGCTTTCTCAGCTGGGAACCCAGGAAGCACTGTCCAAATATTTAATAATCCCAAAATCTTTTCGGGGTGTCCCAAAGTGCCACTACAGAACCCAGAAACCCTTAAGGACCTGCAGGACTGGTCAGCTGCACAGCCTGTGCCAGCAGGCAGATTTTTCCCATGATGTTGCACATGCTATTTATTCCATTCATTAACCAAGTTAATGGTGGCTAAGAATAGACCCCAGATGTCCTTCTGGCCTTAAAAACTTCTTTGCCCTCAAGGAAATACAAAGCCTAAGTGGCTTATGGAATGTGTAGGATGCAAAGAATGAACCCAAGCTATGAAGAGCTTGCACATTTCCAAGAATTCACAAAATACATCCCAGCTTTTAAATAATCTCTGTTCCACTTCTGGGAAATTAGTGGTTAGCAAGGATAGTTCAGAACAGAGCAATGGATACATAAATGTATAATTCATTGATATAGAGATTATGCCAGACAGAGCCAGAGCTGTTCAAATGTCTTCAGTTTCTGTGATCTATTTCTGTGATGTTACCACTGCAGAATATTCTCAATTCTGTAATAAACTGGTATTTCTGAACAAAGACCATTTCATATTATGCCTTTAGAAAAATGTGTCTTTAGTACAATTTACTCCAGATTTTTATTTTGGTTTTGGCAATAGAAATTATTCTATAGTGTCATTTTTTATACGTACTCCCTGATACATTTGGGAAATTTCCCAAGATATACTAAAGATAGTACTATGGTTTTCTGCATCAGTGCTCAAAACCAAAGCATTCATGGGCAGAATAAAGAAAAATTTCTTTCTGTATAAGCATTTTTCTTCTGTTGCCTGTATCCAGTCTCTTGATAATCAGTAATTAGAGAAAAGAACTATAACAATCAAATGGGAGTTTACACTTACAGAAATTCAAGCTATTTATTGCATTAGTTATTCAGAGAAAGCTGTTTGAAAACCTCTCAGTAAATGAAAGAAGCTGCTATTTCTGAAAGCTGAAATTGTATTAATAGAAATTCTAAAGAGTCTAAAGAAGAACACAATCCATTTGAAACTGATTTGATCTTCTCAGAAACCAAAGAGTAATAGGGGGATTTAAGGGTCTTTCCCTCTGTGAAAATGTATCACCTTTTTTCAACTGATATCCAGTCTCCAAACTGTGACTTTTCACACTTTACAAACAGAAAGACCAAAGCAGAGGCTGAGAAATAATAGATTATGATCATTTCCACAAAAAGGGGCTCCAGCTCCCATTTCCTCAACCCTTTGCTTTCAGACATGGAATTAAATACTCAATTCCTGGGCCTCAGGGAGTGAAATAATCACAGAATAGAATCACAAGATCATTAAGGTTGGAAAAGACCTTCAAGATTATTGAATTCAAACTCTGTCCAAACACCACCATGCCAACTGAACCACAGCACTGAGTGCCACGTTGAACACTTTGAGGGATGGTGACTCCACCACTTCCCTGGGCAGCCCGTTCTATTTCCTGACCACCTCTTCAGTGAAGAAATTCTTCCTGAGAAGATGAATAACGGATAGAAAACCCAGCAAGCCAGAGGGACCTCTCACACCACAGCATTTTCCTTCATTTTCCAAGGAAGTTCAAACCAACATCTCATCTGAACTCCAGCAAGCTGCCTGCTCAGGACACCCACCCGTGTGCCTGCGCTGCAGCCAGACATCCTGGGAGTGTCCAAGGACAGGTTGGACGGGGCTTGGAGCAACCCGCTCTAATGGAAGTTGACCCTGCCCACGGCAGGCGGTTGGAACCGGAGGATCTTTCGGGTCCGTTCCAAACCAACCAAACCGTTCAGTGATTCCACGATCCCTGCCGTGCCTGTGTGCTGTCGGCTGCCGCCTGGCAACGGGAGCGCAGGTTTCCATGGAACCGCAAACAGAGCCGGCGGCGCCTCCGCCCCGTCCCGCGTCCCGCCCCGCTCCGGCCACGGCTTCCCGGGGAGAGGAGCCCGCAGGACCTCTCCTTCGGGTGAGAAACCCAGAAAAATGCAGGGGAGAGGGCAATCGCAGCAACTTCTTTGCAGTTTGTAACATCATATACTGTGTCTCGCTCGGGCGAGCGGAGGGGCTGGCCCGTGTTCCCGGGAAACCGCACGGACTCACCGCCCGCTCCTCCATGGATGGTGGGGGGTGTGCAGAGAACTCTGCCAGGGACAGATGTGTCCCATCCACACACCTACCTGTGTGACACGACCTGCTCTGCAAGCGATGGTGTCCTCTAAATTATCATCTGAGTGTATAAAACACACGCTCACCCAGTGCTCTGGGAACATGGGGGATGGATTTACTGTATTATTTTTTAGAATTTTCTGCATGTTTGCTTTGGCATTTTAGTTTGTGGGTTTTTTTGCTTTGGTTTTGTTTTGGTTTTGTTTTTGTTTTTTTGCACAGCAGCTTGATGCAAGGGAAAAGCACTGAATAAAGGTTTTGGTAAATTAAAACCATGAATGCCTTATCTATTGATTCCCATGCTACTGGCTACTGGAACATAAAAATGTCAGAGGCACTAATATATGCCAAATGATTCTAGTAATAAAGCATTTTTATTTGCATTATTGAGCTTAATAATTATAATTAGCACAGCAAGTGGTTCTGTAGCTTTTGGCATTATTTCCAAAGTGATGTGCAAGAAACCTATTAAAAACCACAACAATCTCAGATAAAAAGTACCTTAATAAAATGAATATTTAAAAGTTAATCATAGAAACAGTTTCCTATATTTAGCTAAAGTTATGTTATAAAGCACTTTTTATCTCTGAGGGTTACACTGACAATTATTGTCCATATGCCAATATCCTCTGCCTAGTCCTGGTTTTCAGTCTCATTCCCTGTAGCAGGAATTTTAATCAACCACTGGAACAAGAAAATTTTTATGAGAAGGGTTTTAGATTACAGAAATCAAGGTGTGCACTGAGGGCTGAGCCTCCAGGTGTTTGCTGCAGCTGCTCTGCAGGTTTCACAAACCCTATTCAACCGAATGCCTCAGGTGTTTGACTGCCTTCCCACCCCTGCCCTGGTGGGGCTTTCTCCAAAAGTCACATCATCAGCAGGGGTGATGTTGTTCCAGGATGTAGATTAGAGACCCCCTAGAGAAAAATATCCCCTTATGTTAAGCAAAGTTCAGAGAGACTTGAAATCTAAGTAACCAGTCAAGGGGGCTTTTGGAAAATACACTTCAAGAACTGAAAAGCAGAGAGAAAACATTTGGGATATATTCAAACAGCCTAAATTCTATCTCAGCCTCTGTGTCTCATCAGCAGTGAAAGTTTGACACCTCCAAAGAATTGGATACTAATTGGGCAGCTGCAGAAACACAGCCAATAGCAAACACAAAGCACCAAGGACGTACATGGAAATTAGGCCAGATGAGTTTAGCTCAATATACATAAAAACTGGAGGCTGTTCAGAGCAAAAACTGATGCTCTAAAATAGCCTTAAAACTAGTGCAAGAGGAAGAGGATATTTTCTCCAGCGTCTTATACCAGTGCAGATCAGGAATGGTGCCAGCAGCAGAATTGCATCAATTGAACTAGTACCTCACTGGGCCCAGCTCACTGCCTTTGGTGATTACAGGATAACTTTAACAGCGGTCTATCTGTTCTTTGCAAATGAGATCATTCCAACTCTGCCTTTTCCCTTAGGATCCATAGCAAAAACTACAAAGAGAGACTGGAGTCAGAGAACAAAAAACTAACCTTCACCAATTTCCCAACCTAAAAGGAAACACAACGGAGTTCCATACAACATGTCTGTGCTGTCTGACAATCCTTCTGCCTCATTGCAAGAAATCCACAGTGCTGAAACAATTACTGGTAAGAGCTTTAGGGAGTAAAAAATGTAGCTTGTGAACTAGTGACAGGAGGATGAAAAAGCATGTGTGTGGGTCCAAACTAGTGACTGGGTAGAAAAAGAGGTAAGGTACTTGGATTACTTGTTATCTCCGAAGTGTTTTGTCGTTCCTTTCCCATCAGTGTGTGTGTAAGGAAGACTGTGTTTTACACAACTTCCACATAAGCCAGGGATGAACATCTCCTTTTGGGGATCAGAACACAAATGTTTTCCAGTTTAATGAAGCATTTTGTTAATTCCTACAGACATTAAAGGCTCAGTTGCTTAAGATCCAGAAAGCCCCTAGGCCTGCCACTCCTGTAAAACTTAACACATCAGTTACTGGCATATCCCAGCTGATTGACTTGTTTATGGTTTTCTTTGGGCCAGGTTCAAGGCCACCATCTCAACATACAGCATCAACATCTAAAAGTCTCTCTTCCAGCCCTGCAGTGGAAACCCACCTCATACTGTCAGGTAAGGACACAATGCTCTGGCAGCTTTCCCTTGTTCAATCAAAGGAGAGGCCTGTAGTCAAATTCTTCTGCCCACAAACAGATGAGGTGGGTAAAACAGCTCCAGACTTACAAAAATCCCTGTCTGAAATCCTGAGTTGATCATCAGATAACGGTCAAGTGACACAAACCATGCAGAGGTCTCAGTTATGTCACTGAATTCTTATAAGCCCTATCCAGCTCCCTGCTCCAGCATCGTTAGACACCTGCAGCTGGGAGCACAGTTGCCCACCCTCCAGGTGTGATGCAGCAGATCACACTCCCCTTGCACTGGGTCCTGATATTCTGCTTCACGTCTTCTACATCCTCATCCATTTGTTTTTTGCAGAAAGCTCTGAGGAGGATGAAGAAAACCCAATGAAAAACCCATTTACAATCCCATCAGATGCTGATATTCTTGTGCTAAAGGACAAGGAAATCAAAAAGGCAAAGGCAGTACGTATGCATGCTCTAGGCCAATGTATTTAACAAGCACTTACTAGGGCAGGCAACCAACCAGTGGATACCAGAATTTAGTGCATGAGAGATCAAAAGATCACTTCATGAGAAACCTGGGGATGTTCAGCTGAGAGAGGAAAAGGATCTGGGAGACATGATTGCAGCCTTTCAGTACTTACAGTGTGCTTATGAAAAAACAAGAACAGCAACTTTTTACACAAACAGATAGTGACAGAACAAGGGGGAATCATTTTAAACCTAAAGAGAAGAGATATAGATTAGATGTGAGGAAGAAATTCTTTACTCAGAGGGTAGAGAGGCACTGGAACAAGTTGCTCAAAGAAGCTGTGGCTGCCCCATCCCTGGAAGTGTCCAAGGCCAGGTTGGATGGGGCTTTGAGCAACCTTTGGTCTGGTGGAAGGTGTCCCTGACCATGGCAGAGGGGTTGGAAGTAGTTTATCTTTAATGTCCCTTCCAAGACAAGCCATTCAGTGATTCTCTGGTATCTGAGAGGTCTGACTGATGTACATGGTCACACAGCCTGGCAGCAGTGTGGAAAGAAGCAAGAGGCCTTGGTTTCTAAAGCACAATGGGAGGGATCCAAACAAGCTTAAGCAAGGCCTCCTCACCTCACACTGATGACTGATACAGTCTGGTTCTTGCTTGTGTGGAAAGTCACTATATAAGTATGGGGAAGAGCTTAGGAAGAAGTGCACTAAGGATGTCTGCTGAGGGATGTCCTCAACATAACTCATGGCCAAACTGTGCAGACAGCAATGAATTACACTTCAGTCCATAAGAAAGCACTGAGCAGGAACAACCTTTTATCCTCCAAAAAGGTCTGGAGTGGGTTTGAATAGATCCTCTCAATCTGAACTTGGTGGTTTACGTGCCGCTGTGAAAGTTGGACTGAGTTGGTTAAGTGTGGGCTGTCCTGTTGTTCCCTTTAAGTAGGGGACTTACAGGATGAATCTCAGAAAATTTCCATTTGCTCAGAGGAATAATCTAGGAAGGAAAAATGAGGACACTGAGTAGGTACAAATTAGCACAGCTGGTAGATGGATGCAGAATACAAATCAACATACTAATGAGAACAAGAGCTAAGAAATTTAGTGTTTCAGTTGCCTCAGGAGAGAATATCACTAGGATTAGTCAGGAAAAACCAGGCAAACATGCATCAGCAGGGTATCAGCAGTCTGCAAATTTCTAAACTGTGAATAGCTACTCATGTCTTTAAAAACCACAGCAACCAAAGCACACAATCAAACTGTCCACATATCTGACTTCTCACAGAAACATGAAAGGATGAAGACCTTGAAAGTCCATGAGAAAACTACTTACTCCACTAAAATAAAAGAAAAAAGTGGGTTGAGGAAAGCTCTGAAGAAGGAGGAAGAAGAGGAGAGCAGAAAACAGGCAACAAGTGAAGAGAGATTGAAAGCTCTTCAGGACATTCTCTCACGGAAGTTAGCCATGCAAAAAGGTGGAGAACAGTCACGGTCTTTGCAGTGGTGCTGCTCAGCTGGGTAACAGCAAAGAGGGGATGGGAGGAGAAGTTGGCTCTGGCTGACTTAGGTGAGGTCTTGCAGACACGATAGCTGGCTGTATCTTGCCAACCTTGCATAGCTGAGCCATCTCCATCTCACGCATCTACATACAGAGCATAAGGCACCCCCTCCACAGCAGCCTGGGTTCCACTGTCCCTAACAGTAGCTGGGAGCTCTCAGAATCAGCTGGGAGCCAGCTGAGTTTGCAGGACCTTGTGTCATAGAAAAATATCTACCAAGCTGATCTAAATTTGGATTTTAGTGGATACAGGCTTAAATTTTCTACCTCTGACATGAGCAGCAGCTTTCCCATTAATATCTAGAGGGCAAGGACCAGATTCTCAACTCCATTCCACCTGGGTTTACTCCATGAAACTGATCCTAAACAAGGATTTCATACTCCATACAAAACTGATCCTAAGTAAGGTAAAAACTGTAATGCAATAATCAGTATTGCTGACTCCAATGCCAACCAGATCCGTGCTCATGGCAGCCCACATATTCACTGTGTTTTGCCTTGGCCATATTTCCCCCTCTAGCCTAAGCAACTTTACATTCTAATTTCAGATTATGCATTAGAAAGGGAGACCTTCCATGGCTACATAAATGACAGAAGAGAGATCTTTTTTATTGAGGTACTTGGCTTTTAGAGTTGTTACTTTCTGTTCATTTAATTACTCTTCTCTGTGTTGCTTTATTTTGGTGGTTTTCCCCTGAGATGCACTGCCTATAGATCTTTCCAAGGAGGTACACATCAGACCTCATGGATTGACTGTCCAAGTCCTGCATCATTCCCTGCAACTATTTCAGTTGTGAGATGTACAGATACACTGACTCTTTGACTCCTGCTGTTCTATACATAAATTGTAGCTGGGAGCCATTCTGAGCTCAAAATAAGGGGATGGAGTAACTGTGCTGGAATATCCCCATTATTCATCTTTATTTTTGTGCTATAACAAAACTGAATGAATTAATCCTTGTCAGCCAGGAGTTAACACAGTGCTGGGACTTCTGTCTTTAGTTTCACTGCCTTTTTGTTATGCTCCTTCTGAAATAACCCCAGGCCTCTATATACCTCTGTGCATTAAGACACACACCTTTTAAGTCCTTACCCTCTCTGCCAACAACTATCAGGTAGTACCCAAGTAACCAAGAACAAAGCTTAACCAATGTCCCTTTAAAATCAACCAACCAAAGTGACTGTGTTGCCTTTGGGGTTCATTTCAGTATGCCATGGCAGTGAAGCGAGATGAGATTAAAAAGATGGAGGACATAGTAAAGAATGAAGAAAAAAAACTGGAAAAGGCTGAGAAGAGGATGGAGAAGGATGCTGCCATGTTTGAGGAGTTCCTGCAGGAGAACCAAAATAACTCCGTCCAAGCCCTGAAAATGTAAGGAACATTGAAGGAAACACCTGTGTGCTCTTTCATGCTGAACACAGTAGATTTTCTGCTTGACCTCCCTGCAGGGTTTTTGGCTATGAAACACTCTTGATTTTCCCAGTTATAGTCCTGGTGGCGCTTTCTCCCCACACATTCAATAAAAGAGAGGAAAGAGAACAACAGCCAGGGAATACTCTCATTGCAAAAGCCCTTGATCTGGTGGCAGCAAGGAACCACTTCCATTCGTCTCACAACACCCTTACCAGCTGGAGATGCCTCTGCCCAATCCCTCAAAGCAGGAACAGTCCCCTCAGTGAAGCAAGCTGAGCACTTTGGCCCATTACAGATACCACAAGGGCAGAGCAGCAACTGATGCTCAGCAGCAGCCAAATTAGGGAGATCTTAACACTGGGATGCCACACTCCTTGCCAAGAGAAGCAGGGCCTTGAGGCAGGAGGCAAACATCACCTGGGATACATCTGTAACACAGACTTCTAGTGCTTGTATCACATCTTTTTCCGTGTTTCATATGCACCTCAGTTTACTACTCACTACCAAAGTGTTTAATGTCTTATGTTTATGCGTTCTTTCCTAGGGCCAAAGAAGAAACCTCAGCAAAGAGAAAGAAAATAATGGAGCTCCAGGCAATCACTTCCCAAATAAAGAAGGTCCAAGGGTAACAGCTGCTCATTATTCCTGCCTGGCCTTTAACAGTCCCTACACTGGTGTACTTTCACAGTCCTTGGGGGTGAAAAATTTCAAAAAATGTTCCATTTTAGGAGTCAAAATGTTTTGGCTTTTGTTACCCAGATACTGGCTTTGTTTCTAAACCAACTCAGCTAGTTTTTGGTTATATTTTTAGGAAGTATAAATATTCCAAAACCAAAATCAAATGCTTAATATCAGATTAAAACCCAAACAAAACTTAGTAACACGTTTTAATGGGCATCCGTGGAAAGACAAAAGAAATAACTATAATGACCATTATGAGTTGAGCTGGAAAAATTTTTCATTCCTTTTCAAGTAAAAATTCCAAAATTAGCAAGCCCAGCAACATATCAAGGCTTTGGCCACAGAGATATGACCAGGCAGCTTCCACATGAGGAACCACAAAGTAACATGCAGGGCAGGTTCCCATTTGTTTTTGCATGTCCATGAAAACATGTGCCCTTCTCTGGGTGAAGCTGAATATCAAGAGCAAAGAATATGTTCAAGCAGGGGCTTTCCTCCCCGCTAACAAGCTTTGTCCACTTCTCTCTACCCAGTGATATATCCAGAATTGAGGATACTCTGCAGGAGTACAAGATGTACAGGGACATCCTCTATCAGCTGTCTCCAAAAGAGTGGCAGAAGGAACATGGAAAAAAGCACACAAAGGATAAGGACTCGAAAACAGAATCCAGAACTAATGAAGGAAGTGCCTCATCTGCCCCTGGGGCAGAGCAGGGTGAGTGCCAGGGAAGTGCTGCCTGCTCCTCTTTGGGACAGCTCCAGGCTTTGAGTACCTCTCTTCTTGTCTCCAGACCAGGGTCTGACAGCCAGAACTGCCCACACCACCAGTTTTACAGATATGCCACGTTCCCTGCTGCATTCAGAAAGTTTGGATTTCAGGTCACGTGACAGCAGGCCACAGCTCAAACACTTCCTGAAGCCTCTTTTAACAAGAGAACTGTAAGTACAAGACAATGCAAACAACAGACTCAAGTACTGCAGAGAACACTCAGCTGACTGGGAGTCAGCAGAGGGGAATCCTACTCCTCACCCTTGCTGTGGGCATACTGAGAGCTGGGGCTGATTGGAACAAATCCAAATACCAGTAGAAAAACCATCAGGTGTGCCAGTCAGTACCTATGTGCCTACTCCAACAGAGCTCTGTCCTTAAATCCTCTGCTGAGAGCCCTGCCCCAAGTGGGGCTGGCACTAAGATGAGGCAAACAAAGGTTTTTAACCCCTCTATGGCACAGGGTGACAGGTGGAGGTGAAGGTGATGAGCAGACTGTACTGCCAACAGCAGCCAGGCACCTCTTGCCCCCTCTTCCCTCTCTTGTGCAGAGGAAGAAGCACTCAACAAGCTTCTCTCAGGGCAAGTAAAAAATGCAGACTCCCCATGGTGCCTACACCATGATGTTTAGGAGCAGTACCATGTCTCACTAAGAACACTAGGCTTTTCCTACATTTGTGCTGCTGCTGCTGCCTGAGCCTTTCTAGTAAGGCTCTTGATTTTGCCTTCTCTTTGCCCAAAACCTCCCAGCGAGTTTAAAGGCATTTGGATCAACACCATCAGTTCAGGCTCACACATCATGTCCCAGTCCCACTGGCCAGCACAGCCCAGAGCAGCACAAAAGGCAGCTCATGGCCTGTTTGCGTGACCCCCAGATCCTACTGACCCCCAAACAGCCCACAGCCATGGGGAGGCAAATGTGGGAATGTGCAAAGGACTGTTCAGGAGCAAATAGCAACAGCAAGAGACAACCCAACAGTCTTCATAAGTCACTAACAAGGTCTTCTGTGAGCTATCATTTCTCTAAGGGCCTAATACACAAAATGCTTTTTCAGAAGTTCATTGGAGGATGCAGAAAATGAAAACAGCTCGGATGAAGATGAGGTCAGAAGTCCTATGTTGAAATATTTACATTTTCAGTTTGTCCTGTGTCATTTATTGATATTACTAATTTCCTTCACCTTACAGCCATTAGTTATGGTACTGAGGAGTTACTGTAGCCACAAATTATAAACGTATGTTTATACATCCATAAATGTTCATGTTTTGGCAACATGTATTATAAATAGTTTAGTTGAACTTTCCTCCTCCAGTTTCCAAAAACCTGCCATCATCTCTAAGCTTGTCATCCCCTAACCAGATATGACATCACACAATGGAAGATTTTTAAATTAATGCAGTTACTGGTTTATGTTTGAAATTGAAGTTTTCTCCTCACAGATGTTTGAATCACTTTTTACCCCCCAAAATGCAACTTGTTTTGGGGGTGGGCTGCTGAGACAGAGTAAAGCTACACATGTGGCAGGAAGGTGGGAGACATTAATACATGGACAGTTACAGACCTCTCTAGATGGAAGAGTGTTTGAACAGTCAGGGCTGGTGCAGACCAACCTCCATGTACTTCAAGAGGCTGGAGGAGGAAAAACCCTCATCACACGTGTTTTCCACTCCAGGAGCCCGAGTTGTATTTTACTCATCCTGAACAACTGCTGATTACTTTCATGAAGATGCAGGATGAGAACATATCCTTCATCAAGAATTCCCACGATATTGAGGAAAGATGGAACAAGATCCAACACACTTTCATCACCACACACGAGAGCATGTAAGTGTGATCCTGCAAGAGATGGGACAGGACCCCTCTGCCCACCACTGGCACCTCACCACCTGCACGCTGTAGACCACATGGAATGCTGTTCACACAGCACAGAGCAGAGTCTTTCTTGTGAGCTCCCAGGAAAGTGTCCCATCTATGTTTAATGTAGAAGATAAGGCTTGAGCTTGGGACTAATTCCTTAGTCCTCAAGGCACAGATTAGGGAACTGATGCATGTAGCATCCTGGAGGGCATATGAGGCAGAAGCATTGTGTAATTCTCATAAAGGAAGACCAAGGGAAAAAATAAAGCAAGTCCTGGAGTGATCCAGACCAGCACCTACAGTGACTCAGTGCAAAAACTTCCAAGAGGTAGACAGAAGGAAACTCAAGGGTCATTGTAATATACTATTTCAATGGCAGCTAGACTCATATTCCCATTTAAAGTGTTAACTTACTCCCTTGTGAAAGTTTTTAAAGGTAATCTGGATCCTCCACTGACTATTAAAAAATCTTAGTTTAGCTAGGCTACTTTTTCCTTCCCCACACCAGCACAGAAACTGTTTTTTCCAGAAAAAAACCAGAAGTTCCCTCTGCTCTCAGGGTTGTGGGTGCAAGTTCTCAGAAAAGGCTGAAGTGTTACCTCCATCTGCCGGCAGCAGAAGGGATGGGCCCAGGCTGGGGAGAGCAGAAGAGCCCTGTGTTTCAGAGATGCTCCTTCCAAACACCACCTCTCTCCTTTGGCCTAGGGAGAAGGAGTTAGCAGAGCTGAAACAGCAGGTGAGCACCCTCCAGTCCTCTGTCACCAAGGAAGAAGAGAGAGTAGCAGATCTGAAGCACAGAGTTCACCTCTTTTCCTCTGGAGAACATGAAACTGATGGCCAGGTATATGCTGAGATCAAGGCAAGGGGAGTTCACGTGGGCATAAGTGGTTCCTCTCCACCAGCCATATCCATCCTGGGAACAGAGCAGGCAGTGGGTTGCACTGGGCAGGGATCAGCACTATTTCCCAGCAATGGAGCTGTAGCAAGGGCAGGTTTGGGGCACTGTTGAGGCAGCAAACGTGTGTGCTCCAAGCAGCTGCTTTGAGGTGAGAGCAGGGGGCATAAAGACACCTGGGCAGCCACAACCTGCCCCAAGTCACAGCAAAGCTGGGAAAATGAGACCATCAGGAGAAAGGCTCAATAAAGCCATCTGTCCCAGCCACTGCTGCTAAGCCAACTGGGAAACAAGCAACTGAGTCTTCTTGAGGAAATGAAAGTGTTTCCTTTACTGATTTCCTTTGGTTTTGGAGGGATATTATGGTTCTACAGGGCAGGACCCAGATGTGCCTCTTACATATCTCCTCTTACCTCTAGGACAAAATGCTTGCAAGCCTGAACAAGAAGGTGCTGGAAGTCTATTCCCACTGCACTGGAGACAATGAGACAAACCTGAAGACAATAGAGATGCTAAAAGTAATAGAAAAACAGCTCAATGATTTACTGGACAGCCTGGAGAGAATTCCACAATCAAAGATAGAAAAGGCTCAGAAAGCCATACAAAAGGAAAAGAGGGCAAGGTAAGGCAAGACGGTCTTCTGGAAAATACCTCTATTTTTAAATGTTGACAGTCAAAAGAGTCAAATCAACCCAAGGAACTGTAGCAGCAATCTGCAATCCCACGTGACCAATCCATACCATTCTTCTTCCTGTAAGGGTTCCACATTCATAGAACTTGAGTCTCCTGAGCAGCTCTCAGCTACATTAGAGAAGACCTGCAAGCTACATTGGAGAAGGGAAAAATCCAGAAGAATAAAAACCACCAAACTCACAAACAAAACCAGACTCAGTGATTAGAAACATAATTTTAAGAAGACTATTTACAGCTAACAATATTTAAACTGATTAAATAGCAAATTGCTCCTCTAGTTAACACACGCAAAGTCTGCCATGCCCTGATATTTCGTCAGGCTTCAACAGGCACAAAAGGGAATTTCTCAGCAATGATAGCTTTCAAATGTTTCTTCTACAAAACTCTTAAATTTGACTTGTTTTATTAGATTAAATAGTAGTCAATTAATACAATCAATTCAGGTTCCAAGATAAGACATTCCTTTTGGCCCAATCACTCACATGAAATTTCCCCTCACAAATTGCAAAGATAGATGAACTGCTGACTGTATCAGGCCATTTTCAGGTGAATGAGAATAGTGTGAGGACTCAAAGCCAGAGCAGTGACATTTCCCTCCTGCTTACTCTTTCTCTGTATCTTTACTCAGCTTTGTAGTAGAAAGGGTGTAGTGCTTCTTCCTGATGTTCTGTGAGGCTGCACCCAAACCCCTGTGCACTGGTGGTCCTGCATGGTTACATGTAAGGTGTGATGTCAAATGTAATGTTAGATGTTGATGCTGCGTGTCAAAAGCACATCTGGTGTAGCTGCATGCTGCATTTAACTCTTGCTTTCTCTCTTCAAAAGGCTGAGAGAGGAAAAGCTGAAACAGAAGCAGCAGCAGGAGGAAGGATTGAAAAGGGACATGGAAAGATTGCAGGCAACTGTAGAAAAAAAGGTAAGTGCAGTGATCCTCACCTCAACAAGCCCACTTCAGAGAAGCTGGAGGTACTTGAATATCAAGTGTTTAAGGGAATAGTGTTACTAGGGTCCTCCATAGCTGTGTGGGGATGGCACCTATAGCCAGCCACAGCCCAATTTACAGGAGTGATGTAACTTAAGCCACTGCTGGGAAGTCAGTCACAGTGCACACTCTTCCAGCTCAGTATTCTTCCACTGTCCTTCTCCTATCCTTCTCACGACCACATGGTTCCCTCCATTACTTGCCAATTCTCAGTAAGCTCATTTCGACTCCTTAACTTGGCTGTATTAAACAAAGCATGAAAATCAGCAAATGAGGAACTGGGCACGAGCAAGACACTCCTGACAACAGCAGCAAGGCCCTCAGTCAGCTCTGCCATCCTATCAAACCAATACCTTTTCTGACCTGTTCCATATTATGCCAAATTGAGCTTCAGCCACGGTTCCTGCTGCACCTTCCACAGGCCAACACGGCAGTGAGGACATCCCACCTCTGCCACACAACACAGCAGTGACAGCATGGGTGACAGACAACAGGTGCCACGAGTCCCTGCCCTTTAGCCAAGAGAAAACAGAGGGTTCTGCAGGCTCCCTCTGATACTTCCTTGGACTTCCAACTTCCCCTCCTCTTCCCAAGACAGTACAAATGAGGCTTCAGCCAGAAACCAGTTGTAGGTACAACAGTACGTTGTAGCAGCTGAAGCACGAGCACACGCACAGCCTTCAGGTGCTTCTCACACTTTCTAATACAGAAAACACTTAATAGACACACTGCAGCCTGCCCAGAAAACACAACCAAGGGGCCACAGCCCCTCATGAAGCAGCTTTAGCCACATGGTTCAGACATGCCAACACAGCACTGATAAAGGCACCTCTTTTTTCTCTGCAGAACAGCGGGAAGCTGGCGTTTCATTCCAACCCACCTGCCAGGAAGGAGAAGAAGACTATCCCAGAACAAATAGATAAGGAGAAGGAAGAACAAATGTATTATTTCTCTTGACAGCACAGCCTCAACCACAGCATGTAGGGCTGAAGCTGCTCTAGAACTAGTCTTGTAGATCTACATTCTGTCTTTGCTTAGTTGAACAACTTTCAGTCCCATGAAACTTCCTTCTTCTCCTACTCTAAGATATCCAGGGAAAATTTACAACCTCTTTTCTCATCCATTGATATTTTGCCTAAGAAAACAAATAAAAATTATCTCATTTTGCTTCTCAGGCTCCTGCTAAAGACCAATCCTTTTCTCATTTGGTGTTTGATGCCAATAGCTCTATTCCCACAAACCCAAGCAGTAAGATCTATCACAGTCCTGGGTGACAACCTTTGTTGTCACCCAACCCTAATTCTAAGTCAGCCACCTGCCAGACATTTAAGATAATCACAAGTTTGTTGAAGGACTATAAAAACAACGGCTATGCTTTAATCCAAAGGATGGGTTTCATTATAGACTCCACCCCACTACTGTGGAAAAGGCGCATCCAAAGAAAAACACAAGCTCTGCAGAAATCAAGCTGCTAGTAATTAGCTTTTTGTCAGATGCATCCATGCAAAGAACAACACCCAGTGACAAACTGACCATAAAAAAAAAAAAGCTTTATTAACCCTTTTGCACCAGCAGTTCTTCAGGTATCCATTGCCAGCAATGGACTCCAAGCCAAGTGATCCAATTTTCCACCCCAAGAGGTTAGCACTTTACATTCACTTACAAAGCTGAGTGAGGTACATTTTCAGAAGTAGAAAGATTTGGTTGCAAGTCCCATAAAAAGATGGAGTGTTCCTTGGCCATTTTAATAGAGTAAGAACTGGTATGGTCCTTGAGAACAGAATAATGCAGGCATTGGGAGCTCGAGGTGTCTCAGCTTCCAGGGTGAACATGGTGACCACTAGAGCAAGACCAAGTAGTCCCTGGGGCACAATTCCTTCTCAATCTTTCTATCTCTCAGGAGTGAACTCCATGCTGCAGTCACAGCCACTGGGTAGATCTCATCTACCAACAGTTTGGTTTGGAAACCCAGCCTGAGAAGGTTAAGACTTTCCCTGGACATAAGTTGTAAACTCAGAGTGAGAGGAACAGAGAGACCTCAATGCTCAGTTAGGCTAAAGATAGAAAAATAAAACTGGTTCAACCAGAGGATATAATACTGCCTACAAATCAGGAGCTGAAGTTGAATGTAACCTGTATGCTTTTTTCCTCCCCAAGTCTTCAATCAAAAAAAGCATTTATATGGACACATACATAGTTCAAAAGGCACAGGAAGTAAAAGCATTTCTGAACAACCTCATGTGAATTTAACATCAGTATAACTGTAAAATAAATAAATATGTGCAAGATTAGAAAGATCACAATGTTCTCCTCTGTGACATATTTTGTAAAAAAAAAAAAAATACACATACGTGCATACACACACCTCACTGAGAATTAAAAAAAACCAGTACATACAGCCTTTTAACAAACTCCTATACATACTTTTATAGGCATTCAGAACAACACCATAAGAAACTTTAAATTACTAGCTTAAAATGTAACCAAAGGTGTTTTTTTCCCCTATACAACCCTATACTTATTTAGGTGTTTGCAATCCAGATAAGTAGAGTACATAAAACCTCTCCCTCCAGCCCCAAGAGAAACTGCGGTTTTTCAGTGGGGCAAATCTCTCTGGGTAACAATTCTTTTCCCCTCACAAAATACTCCGACAACTGCATATTCTGTAAACCAGCCAAAAGCTCCACATGCATGTGGCACTCTGGGATAGCAATAAAGAACATGTGTTAACAGTGTTCAATTAAAAAAAAAACAAACAACAAAAACACCGAACAACCCAAAATAAAACGGTAGTGGCCAGTTTACAGGTAACTTGGCAGCGGTTTATAGATGAGATAAAAATCAAGGTGCTTAAATTTACAGGACAGTCAACATTCCTCCCAAAAAAAGGGAACACAAAGATAAAAACAAACCTCTCTCAGATGCTGTTGGACTCTTAGCTAATCACTTACAGTGAGTACAGTTCTATTGCAGTTTTCTTTTTCAAGTTTTGCTGGAAGAATTCAGCAAAGTATTTGGGACGTGGGAGCAAGGAAAGGGAGAAACTCAACATGAGCTACAAACTGATTCACAGCTAAGTTAACATTTAGAATCTAGCTTTCTAAAACAAAGATTTTAGAGCATCTCATTTTCATGGCATAGAACGTTAATTTTGTTACATGTGACACTTTGTTCCAGTTTTCTGCCAAAACGTGGGCCAAAACAATTATGGTTTTTGTGTGTGGAAAACACTTGCAATTTTAGCTCTTAATTCCTTGATGCCACTGGCTCCAGCAGGAAACCAATGGAAAGGAAGTTTTCACTGTCATAGGCAGGATTTTAAATTTGCACTTGTTAGCTGTAGAATACTTGGTTTCCTGTGAAAACAGTAAATATTACCTCAGTTTGAAGTGTAATACAGTACTTCTCCCTGAAACAACACTGTACAGCAGTCTGCCTCAGCCTCCCCGACCACCAGGCAGACAAGGTATCTTACACAGGCACATCAAGTGGGATTTACATGTTTTAAGAAAATCTTTCAGCTGCAACTGTCTTTAGCAAATCACAAAGAGTGCAACCAGACTTCAGTTCTACTTTTCATATTTTCCTTGGAAAAAGACCCACATAGTTATCTCACTCTGTCACGATTGCCCATTTTGTTTTCAAGTAACTGTTCTTAATGGTCATTCCAGATCCTGTAAGTTTATTGTGCTTCCAGTGAACTGAGAGTTATCAGAACCTGCATCATCTTCAGTGGAATTGTGTGGTTCCTGTCAAAGCAAACAGACAGCATGAAGAGTTCAGTACTTTCACCTCTAGATGCTTTTAGCGCTTATCAGCAAGATTACCTTGACATTTATCCAACACCACAGCAATGTTTTGAATGGAATCCCAAAGCTTTCCTACTTTGGGGATCCACCCAAACAATGTTGCCACAGTTCTTCTGTGGAACATTTCAGATGAGCATTTAAATTTAAAATTGCTGACTATTTGTCTCTCCTCCATTCTACTCCATGGCCAACAACCCTACTCTTCTTGTATTTCTACATTTAGCACAGTAAGGTGTCCCTTCTCAATAAAAAAAAGCTTTATTTTCTACCCAGGAGAAGCCCACTTGGCAAGAAAAGGTGCACTGCAGAGTTTATCAAAACTGAGGGCCCCCAAGCAGGCTTTTCAACCTGCCATTCCCATATGGGCACCTCCCTGAAATCTAGGCTGAAGATTTTACTTCTCACTTCCTATCCTTTCTGCAGCCTGTTACATTCCAATTCTGATTCTTTCTTGACCCACCTACTATCTGCAGGCTGGGATCAGGAAAACAAGGACGAGGGCACTTCAGAATAAATGAGTAACATTTAGTTATTCATTACTCAGTAACAGAGAGAAACAACCACCTGTGATGTGTCAAAGGTTGGTAACGGACACAAGATAAATCGTGCAGTGCAGCCCTCTGCTTACTACTTTGTGTGAGTGAAACCAAACTCCCAGTGGAAAACAAGGTATTTTCATTAGGCAGAAAGTGAGCGTTCACAGTAAACTGTCTTCACTTTCAAGCAAGGCAATAAAACCCAATGGCTTGATGCTGTACCTGAAGTATGTGAACAGGTAAATCCACTGTAAGCTGAGAATGTGATGAGGAGGACTGGGAGCTCAGTTGAAAGGGCAAATCTCCCTCTCCTGGGGAATCATCCTGTGAACACAGAAACTTGATGAAATTACACAACCCCCAAGCATCTCAGCACAAATTTCACTCAGTCTCATGATCTTAAATAATCTGCTAAAGCCACTGCACTGTACTAGTAAGGCCTAGATCTACAAAGATGTAGAAAGCTACCACTTAAATCTGAACCTAGCCCTGAGTACAAACTATTACTCTGTCTTCATCGGGACCACTGGCAAGATCTGAAAAGGAAGGAATAGTTCATCTTCCAGCAAATGTAACACTCAAAAATATGCAACAAATTTCACCATGTTTGCACGAAGCTGATACTTAACATAAGAGTTACAAACTTTCCTGGTTTTTATATTACAAACACCTCTCAGAAAACTAGATGGATGGAGAACTCTGCCCGTAGCTTTCTCCATACCACAGTTAGGAGTAAAGTAGAAAGAACTTACCCTCTCTCTGGATACTATACAGATATACACCTGGCCAAAAGCTATTACCTGTCATGCTGCTTTAATCAGTTCACACCAATTACTAGGCTGTTTTGGGCTTCTTAAAGCTTCATTTCAACAGTTGAGAGAAATAACAGTTAAGGCTGAAACTTCTTTTTGCAGGAATGTTTCCAAGTCAGTCTCATTTAAGTATTTTAATATTTATTTATATTTCATCTAATTAATACTTATACTTTGGTATTTACTTAATATTTACTTGTTTTAGTGTTTACTTTGTAATTGAGACGTGGAATAATGTAAGAATACCGCAGAGCTCAAGATCTCATTCAGGAGCAGTAGTACATGAGTTCACAAACAGTCAAATTGCTCCACAAATGTGCCAATTTGGGTAACAGGGAAGATAAGCATGTTTTTTTCTCCTTAGCTCTTACCTGAAGAAGCTGAATTTGCACATACTGAGCTCCAGTGGCAGGGTCCCTTATTGTCAGCCCTCCATTTGGCAGAACTATGTTGCCACCCAGTCGACTGGCAGGAGTGGATGATGAAAAGTTGGTAGGGCTTACTTTACCACCTTTGTTTTTCCTCTGACCAGAGCCAGATGCCCCTAAAAGAGAGCAATTTTAATAGTTAGGTAGTCAGAAACAATTAACCAAAGTGTCCTGCTAGTACTTTTCAATTTTATGCAGCTATTTACACTACACAGCAAATGCCTGCAACAGTGCAATATAATTAAGCACCATCTGACAACTGCTAAAAGCTGGTGAACTCCAGCTGCTGACTGAGCATCTTTTCACATGAACACCATTAAAACCACATCACAAACTGCTAAGCTTAGGGCTCACCCCTGTGGTAGTACAGAA